TCATCTGAGAACGGCAAACTAATTTAAAGCCAACTGAGCCTGAATCTGCTCAATTCAATTAAGTTAAACTGCTTTATATGGGTGAACACTAACAGAAGCTAGATGACCATCTGTCAGGGGTGCTTTGAATGCAATATTCCTGCTTCTTGGCAGGGGGTTGGACTGGATGGCCCATTAGGTCTCTTCCAACTCTATGATTATTTTTTTTAAAAAAAATCTTTATTGAAATTTTCATATTATACAGTCGTTAAAATAAAGTAAAGTTGAAAGGGGTGGAAAAGGAGAAAGGAAGGTAATGGAAGGGGGAAAAGGGGTGGCAAACAGGGGCAATGGGAAGAGGGATGGCAAACAGGGGGTGAAGGATATGGGAGAGAAAGGAGTGAATAAGTAGAGATAGCAGAATATAGATTTTAAAAATCCTATTTCTATCCCACTACATGATGAACTCTACATGGCATGAACATGCTACATGATGAACATACTACATGATGAAGTCTATGATTCTAAGATTTTCAACTGCATTATGACAGTGTTGGTCCAGCGTAAGCCTATCTCGCAAAAGAGGGAAGTTCCATAGCCTGAGACCAGACATTAATAAAACTTCTAAGCTCCATCAAACATATTTCTTTGAGTGATGGATGCAGATTTGCAGTTACTTCTTTTTACAAATTTGTCTGATAGCCAACTCCAGTTTTTTGGTGTTGCACAGCTGCTATGCACTTACACAAAATACTATATAGAACTTAAGGAAAGATACAAGACTGGATTTCTACTGGTGGAACAGCATAACCGTACAGAAACAGGAGCAAGGGGGATCTTACATTTATGTGCATCAAAAAAAAAAAAAAAAACTAACCCAGAGGGCCAGGAAGCAGAAAGAAGCCAGCATTTTAGACAGCTCAGTGTGCAGGGTGGAATAAAATGGAGTTCCAACATGCTGGTAATCCACTACCATGGATTTTGGGCTTAATTGTAACTTTCATTTAACATTTGGTTTATTTTCTGACACAGTAAGAAAAATTCATAAGTCTCACTTATATTTCTGGGCCAGGAGTAAGAATTATATGGCTTCCAGATGTTGGATTATAGCTCCCAGCATTCCTCACCATTGGCTCTACTGGCTTGGGCTGCTTGCAGTCCAGCAATATCTACAGATAGGATCGGGAGACAAACATTATGGTTCTCCCTCCTGGTCTGTGTCATATAATACAGGCACCTTATTGAAGCTAAGGTCTGTCTATTGACAGTGCCTCAATGAAAGACTGGAAAATCCATGATGGAAGAAAAGCAAGATGTGCAACAAGGGCGGGAAAACTATGGTCTTTCAGGTATTGTTGGACTCCAGTTCTATTCAGTTAAAGCCAGTGATTTTGAAAACCGTAGTCTACAAAAAATCTGGAGGACCACAACTGCCTCTACAAATGATCAATTGTACTAAACAAAACAGCAACTATTGCTGATTAATTGTTGCCACATTTCCCTTCTTTCTTTCTTGCTATTCCTGATTATTTAAGAATAACTGCTCTCCAGATCTGGGGAGGGAATATTTTGATTTGCTTACACTTAAGAGGACAATCCCTTTCATATTTATCCAGAAATCTGTCACACGGGCTCAATGGAGTTTATTGACTATTGTAAGCCCCTTTGATGCTCATTCCCCCCACCCCCATAAAATGCGTGGAATCAAAGATGAAGAATGTCCTTTTCCTCTATGTCTGATATTCTAGAGATAAAATGGTCCAGTTTCAAGTGCTGCAATCTTTATGGTTTGTGTAATTCTTTTTCAGAGCTTGAAAAAAAAGAATATAGTTATATTTTGAATTAGGCCAGGCTCCTGCTTCTCAAGGCATATTGTTTGCATTAGTAAGAACTGATCTTGACAATTCCCGAATTTATATTCTAGCCAACAGAATTATACATAGTTAAGTCAAAGTCCTGGGCCTTTGACCTACAATAGTATTCTGAAACGGTGGCCATAAAAGCTTAAGAAGAGAAGAATACTGTAACTCTACACTACAAGTGTGCTGTTTTATGATGCCTGGCAAGGAGATGCAAAACCATTCAAAAGCTTCTTCCTGGCAGTTTCTTGCTATTTAGGAGCCCCCACATACCAGCCAGAGGTGTGGTTCCTGTGCCTGACATTTTTTTTTGCTTTTTTAATTTGCCAAATAAAGGTATTGGTGTTTTCTGGATTTTGTTGTATGTTCTTGTTAGAGAGGTTCGTCTCTCAGCCACTTGAAAAGAGATAGTGGTAGAGAGAGAGAAACGTGGCAGCTCTTTTAACATTATCTAGTTTGTATTTTAGCATGAGATTTTGTGGATATAAACTTACTTTGAAACCCTGGGATATATCTAAGCTTTACACAAAAGAAAGAAAAAATCAAAGGAATAGAAAGCAGAAGACACTACCAACCTCCACCAAACTGGCCCAGTATCTGTTCCTCCTCTGCCTGTAGGCAAAGACCTTTTTTATTCAAACAAGATTGTAATGATTAATTATGTGTATAAACTGCTTTATCACCAGGTTTTATCTTGTTTGAACCTGTTGTAGGACCCCTCTGTTCCCATGCTCAGAGAAAGGTGGGGCAGAAATCAGTCAATAAATGTAAAATCAACCTGAAAACTAGTGGTGCGTCTACACTGTAAAGTTAATGCAGTTTGACATCACTTAGCTGCTGTGGCTCAATGTTATGGAAAGGTGGGATCTGCAGCTTGGTGAGAAACCAACACACTTTGTATCTTTCTGAGGTACCCTCATTTTTTTGGCAGAGGAGATTCAAGATTTTGTAAAACTACAACTGTCAGGATTTCATAGCATTGAGCCATGGCAGTTAAAGTGGTGCCAAACTACATTATTTCTACAGTGTAGAATTTTAGGAGCGACATGAAAAACTGCAAGTCGCTTCTGATGTGAGAATATTGGCTGTCTGCAAGGATGCTGCCCAGGGGATGCCCAAATGTGTTACAATCCTGTAGGAGGCTTCTCTCAAATCCCCACATGAGAAGCTGACAGATGGGAGCTCACCCCACTTCCTGGATTCAAAGTGTCGACCTTTTGATCAGCACTCCAGCTGGTACAAGGGTTTAACCTATTGCACCACAGTGTAGATGCATCCTATAGAGTTTGAATTCCGACTCAGAAATGAAAAAACCCCTTGGGCAAGTCACACTGTCTCAACCCAAGTCACCCTCAGACTAAAATTGTATTATGTGCCTTATGGTCGCCTTAAATCAGAAGCCCAACAACAAAGCAACACAACTTTCAGTTACTGAAGACTTGTGCCATGTAATTACTAGAAATGTGAAGTTTCTCAGCCCTTTGAAGAGAATATGCCTGGAAAAAAGTATGCCAAAAGGTGATTCTGAAGTTAACGAAGGAAATGTTATAATTTGTTTTTGGCTGTCTATAAACCAGGCATGGGCAAACTTGGGCCCTCCAGGTGTTTTGGACTTCAACTCCCACCATTCCCAACAGCCTGGGGCCCCTTCCTTTCCCTCCTCAGACGCTTATGGGGCCTGAGGCAGTTTGGAATGGTGGGAGTTGAAATCCAAAACACCTGGACGACCCAAGTTTGCCCATACCTGCTTTAGCCCCACTGATTGGAAGGTCCTTGCCAATGGCCAAACCTTTCCCACCAAGGTGCTAAAATATTTACATGACAATAAGATGCAGCGGGGCAGGAATGCTCCCTCCTCAAAGGACAGACCGAAAGGGCCCGAGGGGTTTCAGGGCTGTTGTTTGAAAAAGGGACACAACCGTGGGTCTCAAGAAGACCCGGGCTATTTCGAAAACCGTTGGAAAAGAACCACCGAAGAGACCTCACAGGCGGTTTGGAGCGGGAAAGGATTCTAGAAGGCATCGCCTGGGCTCCTTCGACGGGTGAAAGGCAGCCATTCCTTTAGGCTTTGGCCGAAGGAAGTCCTATTTTCTGGACTCATCCAGACAGAACCGAGTTTGGAGAAGTTTCGTCCGCTTGGGAGAAGCCCTTTGGATCAAGCCATGCTGAGGTGGAAAAGACGTGAGTAACGCGCCGGGAGAAACGGGACAGAAAAGGGGAAAGGCCGCCTGAGCCTCTGCTTGCCTGCTTTTAAAGTCAAGGAGGGTGCGAGTTAAGCCATGGAGGTTGCATCTACAGTGGTTTTATTTATTGATTTATCGTGTAAGGGGCAGACCAAACAGTTGCGTTGCATTTTTAAAACAAAACAAACAAACCACAAAGTTTGCAAGCTTGGTAGTTGATTAAATGTCCTGTGACCAGTAGCTGGCCACTTTGGAGTGCCCCTGATGTTGCTGCAAGAAGGTCCTTCATTGTGCATGTGGCAGGGCTCAGGTTGCATTGCAGCAGGTGGTCTGTGGTTTGCTCTTCTCCACACTCGCATGCCGCGGATTCCACTTTGTGGCCCCATTTCTGAAGGTTGGCTCTGCATCTCGTGGTGCCAGCGCCTTCCAAGTAGCCCAGTCTTGTGTGTGCCCAGGGGGGAGTCTCTCATTTGGTATCAGCCATGGATTGAGGTTCTGCGTTTGAGCCTGCCACTTTTGGACTCTCGCTTGCTGAGTCTCTGTAGATCTTAGAATCTTTTCTAAAGATCTACATTGGTAAATTAATAGTTTGGCTGCCATGACGCGTAGATGCACTCTAGGCCTTTGCTGCTCGGGGCACGACTGAGGCAGGCCTACTACGCTCAATGGTCCTTGTTTACTCCGTAGTCCGGTGCCTGTGGCGTCGTTCGGTATCTCTCTGCGCCTGTCTTGATGTGTAAAATATTCTTTGTGTGTGCCTTGATATGTAAAACATTTCTGAACGAGAACTTTACGACTGGTGGAAAACCTCCCTCCCTTCGTGGCTGAGGGCCCATCATGGCGCCGGGCTCGCCCCCCTCCCCACGGCCCAACGGCTTTCCGGGAGGGGAGGGGGAGGGGAAAGGAGAGGTCACGTGACGCGCGCCCAATCACACGTCTCAGCGCTCGACTGCTTGGGCCTGGGCGTCTCGCGCGCTGGCCTCCGCCGGCCTCCTTTTCCTCCTCTTTCTCCTCCGCTCTGGGCTCGGCAGGCTGGGCCTGGCTGCGGCGAGGGGCGCGCGAGCAGCAGCAGCAGCAGCTGGGCTGAACGGAGGGAGGAAGGCGAGGCGAAAGAAGGGAGGAAGGAAGGAAGGAGGGGAGGAAGGAAGGGGGGCCGCTGAGGAGGGCGCGGCGGCGGCGGAGGCAGCAGGAGGAGGAGGAGACGTCGGCCGCAGCGGCTCGGAAGGCGGCTCGCTGGCGGGCGGGCGAGGAGGGCCGAAGCCTGGCGGAACCGCCGGGGGGTTGCCTGCGGGCTGGCCGGCTCCACAAGGCCAAGGCGGCCCGGCAGTGGCGGCGGCTGCCCCTCCTCGCCCGGGCCGGCCTCGTCTCCGGCGGGTAGGATGCGCCCGCTCGTCCCCCGGCACCGGCAGGCAGCTCCCGGCCCGGCCCGCGGCTGAGGCGCCCCCAACGGCGGCGAGTAAGTGCGAACGAGCGAGCGAGCGAGGAGGCGGCGGCCTTCGGGCCTCCCAGGGACAGGCGGAAAGAGGGAGGGAGAGGTAGGCCCCAGCCTGGCGCCACCGGGGCCTTTCCACTCACTGAGAATTCACCCGAGTTGGAAGAGGCCCCAGGGGCCAGTCAGGCCAACCCCCCATCACGTAGTCACGCCATCAAAGCACTCCCGACAGATGGACATCCAGCCTCTGCTTAAAAACCCCCACAAGTGTACAGACCAGGCAGGGGCAAGCTTGGGCCCCTCCCTCCAGGTGTTTTGGACATATTTATTTATTTAACATATTTCAATCCAGCCTTTCTCAAGCCCGAAGGTGACTTAAGGCGGCCTACAACCAGGCAGTTATTCGATGCCTTAACCCAGTGGTTCTCAACCTGTGGATCCCCAGGTGTTTTGACCTACAACTCCCAGAAATCCCAGCTAGTTTACCAGCTGTTAGGATTTCTGGGAGTTGAAGGTCAAAACATCTGGGGACCTACAGATTGAGAACCAGTGCCTTAACCAAATACACTTCAAAACATTTAAAACAAAATTAAAAAACCAGCTTTAAAATCATATAAAAACCAATGCCGTCAACTCCCACCATTCCTGACAGCATCAGGCCCCTTTCTTTTCCCCCTCAGCCGCTTCCATAAAATGTAGTAAAGACTATCACTGGCTACTAGCCATTTTATATTGGTTGCCATCTACCTGTTTGTGGACTTCACAAACTTAGATGACTATTGTGGAAACAGAATGATGGCCTAGATAGGCATTTGGTCTGCCCTATTTAGGTGCTTCTAATGTTTTTACTTCAATTCTTTTGAAAGTGACTGGGACAAGGGTCACCTATTTAATTTGATTTAACTTGAATAATAAATAGCCATAGTCCTTAGCATTAGAAGGAAATGCTCTTAAGCCATGAGAAATCACACACAGGAAAAGACTCACATAAACAGAATGAAGAAAACATGCTCAAAATGGGACAATAAAGAGGCCATCATCGCAGTGGGTTAAACCCCTGTGCCGGCAGGATTGAAGACCGACAGGTCGCAGGTTCGAATCCGGGGAGAGGTGGATGAGCTCCCTCTATCAGCTCCAGCTCCTCATGCGGGGACATGAGAGAAGCCTCCCACAAAGATGATAAAAACATCAAATCATCCAGGCGTCCCCTGGGCAACGGCCAATTCTCTCACACCAGGAGTCACTCCTGACATGACAAAAAAAAAAAATCGCCTTCTTAAGAGATGCAAAGAACTCTGTATGGCCCAGGGAAATCATATAAGCAGGCAATGGCAGTAAAACCTTAGATGTAGGAATTAGAAATGGCATGTTGATGTATTTTTATTTTGATGAATTGAATTTGCTTTCCTAAACTGTTTTGATAAGCGTCTGATGAAATGGTGACATGTGCAGGATTAAACAAGATGAAAAGGAGAAGGGGTGTGAGAACAAAAATGTTGTAAAGTGAATTGTACCTGCAAAAACTAAGAATCATATGTGAAATTTCAGTCAGTATGCTGCCTCCCTTTCAGGACAGTTACCCGCAGCTTATTTGCAAATAAATCTGTGTTTTTTTCTGTCCCCGATGCCTCCTAGTTCCTTAATGAAAAACCAGGACTAGGGGGTTCCACAAGGTTTGTCTTCTTAAAAGAGGGCATCACATCAGAGCCTCTTCACTTTAATTACCGAAAACCAGAGAAGAAATGCTTTAAATACAACACTATAAAATGTGTCAGGCCTCATGTGATGTATGTGCCTTATTGCCAAATATGCAACACAGTTGAGTCATTAATGTTAATATCACTGACGTTTTTTACATACATGCTCAAGACAACATTAATTCTCAGTGGGCTGGGCACAGGCTTTTAAAATTCTCACTCATCATTCACTGGATCCACTTCTGACAACATTTGGCTACTCCAGTAAAAAAACTGGCTATTTCCAGCTTTTTCTACAGTGAATTTGAGCATAACAGGTACTTATACCCACATCTACTTATGTTTCAATAGGTTTCTTCATTTATACATTACAAGAAAGTTCTGCTTTGGCTCTGGGCACAATCACCCCTTACAAGGTTACAGAGCTCACAAGAAAGAGCTTAAGTGTCTGAGAGGGAAAAGGAAAGGGCCTGAGGCTGTTAGGAATGTTGGGAGTTGAAGTCCAGAACACCTGGAGGGAGGGCCCAAGTTTGCCTGTGCTTGGTCTACGTGTTCTCTTATCGTCAACAAGTCCTTCCTCTTTTTCCTACAATTGGAATCCATTGCCAGCAGAAAACAAGCTTTTCTCAATTTTCCAGTATGACGCCCTTTCAAATATTATTTAAACATTTATTATTTATTTACTATATATACCGCCCCTCTCGGCCCAGAGGCTACTCGGAGCGGTGGCTATCGTGTGCCCTCACTTTCTCCAATCAAAACATAACCCAGCTCTTTCAGCTGCATTTGGGGGGGGGGGGGGGGGGGGCTTGGCTTCCAACACCTTTGATCGTTTCTGTCACCCTTCTCTGGACACGGTCCAGCATGTCAGTGCTTTTATTGAATTGGCCAGAAACCTCGTAGTGGGAGGCTGGGGGAGAGGGGAGCTTTGGTTTCAGCTTTTCTCCTAATTGCTATGATGCACTTTCCCCCTCTCCCCAATCGCTGAAACTCATGGAAAAACAGATTAAGCTCCCCATCCTCCACCAGAATTGCAAAGGGGTTAGGTTTCCAGTATCTCTTTTAGTCTCTGAAGGGGAGCCCCCTCCAGTTTTCAGTGACCTGGGAATATTAGGGACTTCCCCCCCATCTCCCCAGTAAATCACAGAAACTGAAGGTGCATCTACACCAGACATACGTAAACTTCAGTGCTCCAGGTGTTTTGGACTTCCAACTTCAACAATTCTTAACAGCCAGGAGTTGAAGTCCAAAACACCTGGAGGGCTGAAGTTTGCCCATGCCTGATCTACACTGTAAAATGACTGCTGTTTGATGCCACTTTAACTGCATGGCTCAATGCTATGGAATCATGGGAGTTTTCTATTCCTCAATCCAGTAAACTTTCGGTGCCAAACATTTTAGATGAGGGATGCTCAAACTGTTTCTTGCGAGCTCTGTAAACTTGTAAGGCAGTGGTTCTCAACCTGTGGGTCCCCAATTGTTTTGGTCTTCAACTCCCAGAAATCCTAACAGCTGGTAAACTGGCTGGGATTTCTGGGAGTTGTAGGCCAAAACACCTGGGGACCCACAGGTTGAGAACCACTGCTGTAAGGTGTGATTGTGTTGAGAGACAAAGCAGATTTTTCTTGCAATGTATAACTGAAGAAACTCTTCGAAGCATAAGTAGGAGATGTGGGTATAAGTACCTGTTATACTCAAATTCACTGTAGAAAAAACTGACAGAAGCGAGTTTTTATTGGATTAGCCAAATGTAGTTAGAAGTGGATCCTGTGAATGGTGAGTGAGAATTTTAAAAGCCTGTGCCCACCCCATTGAGAATTAGTTATCTCCTGAGCAAGTGTGTAAAGAACACATCAGTGACGTTAACATTAATGATTCAACTGTGTTTCATATTTGGCAATAAGGCACATACATCACATGAGGGCTGACACATTTTATAGTCTTGTATTTAAAGCATTTCTTCTCTGGTTTTCAGTAATTAAAGAACTGAAGTAAGAACATCAGAAGCACATAACTAGGGCAGACCAAATGCCTATCTAGGCCATCATTCTGTTTCCACAGTAGTCATCTAAGTTTGTGAAGTCTACAATCAGGTAGACCCTAACCAATACTTCCTCCACTACTGACCGATATAAAATGACTAGTAGCCAGTGATAGCCTTTACTACATCTTATGGAAATTACTGCCATAATTTAAATAAACATTATTTGCAGAAGTGCTTCCTTGTATTTGTGCTCCGTTTGTCCTATTTAATGTTGGTGGGTGACTCCAGATTCCGTTTGTCCTATTTAATGTTGGTGGGCGACCCCAGATTATTGTATTTTGAGAAAGGCGCACCCCCCCCCCCCCGATCTACTGACTTTTAATTTTCTGCATTGCCCGGCTATGGACACAATAACTGCCTTGTATAGAACCAGAAGTTTATCTCATCCAGAGCTCCGGCTAAAACTAGTCAGAGATAACCCAGCAAGCTGACTGTGTGTTAATGTATGGACTGAGCAGATAATAGTCTAGAAATCAACTATTATCTGAGCTAAGACTGTGCTATCTAGGTCACTACACCCTGAAATGCAAAATCTGCCACTGTTGATCACACCGTCAAGTTTCTTGGAACTAGATGAGGGGTTAGTGTAAACTTTGTTGTTATTAATATAGCTAAGAAAGAGGTAGTAATACTGAAGAGGTGAGTTAGATACAAGAGAGTGTTTGTATTCAGATTAATTTTATAAAGCATAAATAGTGCCAATGTGGCATCTGACCTAGCTTATATATGATATGAACTAGAACTGAAGGCAGTTTCCTGGCTACTGATGACGGTATTTCCCTGAAACATCATTTCATGGTTGTTCTTTGAAATTTGATATGTCTCTTGTATAGCATTTATCCTTGGGGACAGATGTTGCCTAGGATTGAACTTGGAGGGACATCTCATCATGCCAGATTCCTTCCCTTAGCTACTGGTTTTCACTAGCTCAGCCAACAAGCCGTAGATTTGGAATAAACTGCTGGAAAGGATATTAGCTCTTGAAAATTATTGATTCTGTGCCAGTATTACAGGAAAAACATGTACATGTTGATGGCCTTGAATAAGTATCGAATGCATGATATTGCTGTCTGTTAACTGCTTGGTTTATAGATCAGATCAGTCACTTTTTTTCAACAAGTTGGTTTAATTTACTTTTGAGTTGTACAAAGATATAAGAGACTCAATGTTGTGCTCACTTTGAGTCCCCCCAGTGGTGAGAAAGGCGGTATATAAATACTGTAAATAGATAATGTTACAAAAAGCAACAATGGGGTGCAGAAGAAGACATGTCCTTACGCTTCCTGAATATTTTTATTTAGGCTCAGACAGTTGAGGTAGCTTGAACAAACACATTAATGGCTGAGTTCAGGACAACTAAACATGTTGCTGTTCTCTGAGTGTATCTTGAAAGAGTGCCTGTCTGAGGTCTAATCATCGTTTAGAACTCACAGTGGTGAGATACAGGGAAGGAGTCAACATTTCTGCAGGGACATTAATATTAGAATAGCTAGTTGAGCAGTGAACTCCCAGTTACAGGAAATTCACCACCTATACTTTTAAATAGAATTGTAAAAGTTGGAGGAGACCACAAGGGCCATCCAATCCAACTCCTTGCCATGCAGGAAAATATAACAAAAGCCCTTTATGTGTGTGTAAAGTTGCTGTCACTACATTTGGAATCAGCTGCAAATTTTTAAAATGGTGTCTTTGGATGAGGCATGCTCCCCTACCCTCCATAATTGTTTTATTGTTTCCCAGACGTCGTAGGTTCTAGTTATGTCAAACAGGGTTTTAAGGAGCACCTTTTTTTAACGGCTAGGGTAATCAACATGCCTGATGAATAATCAATCCATAATGTACAATCCAACATTAAAGATGGTATCAATATGTGTGTTTTACTTCTGGAGTGCATTTGTCATCACAGGCTATATAATAAGTTGCTTTGATGGTCTTCATAATCCTTTTTGATTCTTTCATAGTCTTGTTCAGTGCCATGCTTTCTAGAAAGCAAAGAGGAATTCATTGTATGTTGCAGTGCGAATGGCAGATGCTTTCATGGCCCACTATGATAAATAATTAACATGGTTTTAATGCAGCAAGTTGTTCCCAAATCTTTACTGGGAAATAAGATAGAAACAAAGCCTAATTACAATTGCTAATCTAGTTTAGAGTAGACTGATTATTTGGTAAATCAGCATTTATGTAAATTCTATTCATTCATGGGTGTTTTCTTGTTAGGATTAATAATTGGATTTAGGCCAAAGTTGTCCATATTGAGTGGCATAAACAGGTGTAATAACAATGTGTATAAATGGCTTCCTCTGTTTTATACGCACACACACACACACACACACACACACACACACACGGCAAATATACTATGAAACATGTGTGGTGTACAGTCATATTAGTATTAGTGGTTTGAAGGAAATATGGTTTGTAGAGCTAAAGATATATGTGTTAATATCTTTTTTAATATGCAGAATTTTAGAGAGGCTTTTATAAGTAGGAAACTAACTTTTTATTCTTTATGTCTGTTCTGTCTTCACACATACATGTGCCAGTTCATAAGGATGACCAAAACTAGTATTGCTCTGCGTTGAACTATAGTATTTGATGTAATTGTTATTGTTTATTAGATTGTGAGAATCCACACAGGCATATTATTCTGTGGCAAGAGTTTTGGGGAAATATTTGATAGATTTGCAAAACCTGATATTACTATCAATGACCAAAAGAGAGCTGTGATTGGGACCTATAAGAGGAAAGTTCAGCTAGTACATCAGTCCAGGGTCCAGAGAGCCAAGGGGGGTCTGTCTGTGAATTTCTGGCATCAAGCACCAAAAGCTGTCTTTTGTGCATACTTTATCATGATAATATTTTACAGAGACAGAAAAAACACAACTTAAAATGTTCATGGTATACTATTCAGACCTTAAAACCCTCAATTTTGAAGGGAGCCCTTCCCAATAGGGCCTGATAGCAATCTTTTTCTACCTTTCAAAAAAAAAAAAAATCCCAGGAATTGTTGTCTGTGATTCTTACTCTCCTTAGTGTGGATATCCTGTTGCTCGATCTGGATATGTTTCTTGGGGACTGACTAGTTCTTTCCTTCATCTTCAGGTATGGCCTCACAGCTGCAGGTGTTCTCTCCTCCATCAGTGTCTTCGAGTGCCTTCTGCAGTGCCAAGAAATTGAAAGTGGAGCCCTCCAGCTGGGATGTTTCAGGACAAAGTAACAGTGACGAGTATTACGGTCACAGTAAAAATCTCCCAGCTGCTCAGGGGCCGGCAAGTTCCTCTCACCAGGTAGCAAACTTCAGCATCCCTGCCTATGACCAGAGCCTCCTTCTCCCTGCTCCTTCCGTTGAGCATATTGTGGTTACAGCAGCGGACAGCACAGGCAGCGGTGGAACAACATCCTTCCAAAACAGCCAAGCCCTAACACACAGGGCTAATATTGCTTTGCTGGAGCCATATCAAAAATGTGGATTAAAAAGGAAAAGTGAGGAGGTTGATAGCAACGGTAGCGTGCAAATAATTGAGGAACATCCACCTCTCATGCTGCAAAACAGACCTGCGGTGGGTGCTGCGGCCACTACCACCACTGTGACAACCAAAGCCAGTAGTTCTAGTGGCGAGGGAGATTACCAGCTGGTCCAACATGAAATCCTTTGTTCCATGACAAATAGCTATGAAGTCCTGGAGTTCTTGGGCCGAGGGACTTTTGGGCAAGTGGCAAAATGTTGGAAGCGCAGCACAAAGGAGATCGTAGCTATCAAAATCCTGAAAAATCACCCTTCATATGCCAGACAAGGGCAGATTGAAGTGAGCATCCTCTCTCGGCTGAGCAGCGAGAATGCTGATGAGTATAACTTTGTCCGCTCTTACGAGTGCTTTCAACACAAAAATCACACATGCTTGGTGTTTGAGATGCTGGAGCAAAACTTGTATGATTTCTTAAAACAAAATAAATTTAGCCCCCTGCCCCTGAAATACATTCGGCCGATTTTGCAACAGGTGGCCACCGCCTTGATGAAACTCAAAAGCCTGGGTCTAATTCATGCTGATCTGAAGCCTGAAAATATCATGCTCGTTGATCCAGTGCGTCAGCCATACAGAGTGAAAGTAATCGATTTTGGTTCTGCAAGTCATGTGTCGAAAGCTGTATGTTCCACTTACTTACAATCACGGTATTACAGGTAAGAACCCACATGGTGTCTCCAAGCATACTGTTTTTCTGGTATAAGCTTGTGTTAGTAACATATAACCTTTTCTGTTGATTTCTAACTGCTTCTTGAGTTTTACTGACAACTTTGTCAAACTTGACACATGTTTATAAGTAGTAGCTAAGCTACTAAATTTGGTAATTCAGAAACCTGACTGCCTATTTCAAATGAGAAAACGTCATAACTTGGCATTTGGAAGGTGAACTTTTCCTTTTGTCAAGAATATGGATTTGAAATGCAGTGTGTTAATTAATAATATTGCTGGAATCTGAAAGCCCACACAAATCTTTGGATTTTTGTGTCAAACAGTAGTTTGGATTTGTGTCTCAAACAGTAATTCCCTAGTGTCTCATGAAATACTATTTGGAATGGCCTCTGTGCATGTTCTATTAACAGGTGTAATGGATAATTATATTTTAGAAGACAAGTTGTTGATATTTCAGACACATATTAGGTAAGTTTGGGTAAATATGGTTCTCTAGATATTGTTGGCTTCCATCACCTGTAGTCAACTTAGTCATTTGTGAGGGATCATGGAAGCTGCAAGCTTGTTTGACCCTGTGCTGGTTATTTAAAAAGGTGGTACTTATTCTGCAATGTTGAAGAGCATGGAATGTTTTGTGAGAAGTAGGCAGAATGATCAGGCAGCTGTATTATGCAAATAATGGAACTGAATTTGGTTTAGACATCTGAAGTATCAAGTAGAATATCTGCCCATTTCCCCCAGAGTGCACAGTTGAATTTTCTGTGGGAAATGGGGAGACATTCTACTTGATACTTCAGATGTCTAAACCAAATAGCACTTTACCCTGTATTCGATAGGGCTGATATTATTATTGTTATTTATTAATTTATATCCTGCTCCCCCCCCCCCCCCCCCCCGCTGCTAACAAGAAGGTATAAAACATACAAAGTACTTTGGGATAAAAGAAGTAGACATAATTTAAAAATAACAATTGAAACATAATAAAGCAGTTAGACCATAATAAAACATGTTACAGACTAAAATACGTTCAACACATTAGGTATAGTGAAAACTAAATAAACATATCAGCTGGGTTTCTCATTTTGAAGCAATAGGAGGCTTTATTCCCTTAGCTTCACTACAAAAAGCTACATCAGAGTCTTAGGGAAGGGGAAAAAAACTAAGTTGTATTTCACATCATAATGGATGAGATGAGAAGGAGAAGAGAGGATGAGAAAATTGGGAGAGTGGGTTTGTGGCATTCTTCCAGAGGTTCCTTGGAAGATTGATCAAAAGTTTTAGGCTGATTTTAGTTTGCAGTATAATTCAGAAGATTGCATCGTCTTGTGTTTCTGTTGTCAAGTTCTCAACGTATTTGCTTTTTATTATTAAAGAACTTAGTTAATATCTTGCTAAATGAACAATTTGTTTGTTTGTTTTTTTTAAAAAAACCCCTCTGTGTTTGAAAAGAGCCTAATGCTGTTTGCCCTCAAATTGACATTTATGACAGCATTGTGAATGAATGCCCTCCAGCAGCCCTAGTTATCAACAGCCCTGTTCAGGTCTTGCAAATTCTGGGCTATGGCTTATTTTATTGATTCAATCCATCTGTAATATGTTCTATTTTTCCTGACATTATAATCTTTTCCAATGAGTCATGTTTTCTTATGATATATCCAAAGTACATTTAGTCATCTTGGTGTCTTGTGACAGTTTTGTCTTGATTTGCTCTCAGACCCATTTATTTTTCTATTTGGCAGTCCATGGTGCCCACAGAACTCTCCTCCAGTGACACATTTCAAATGAGTTGATCCTGTCAGTTTTCGTTTCTGTCCAACTTCCAAAAAATACAGAAAAATTGGACATATTATGGCATGAATGATTTTGGCTTTGACATTTATTGATATATCTTTGCACTTGAGGATCTCATCTAGTGTTTTTATAGCTGCCCTTCAAATTCTGAGACTTTTGTTATTTTTTCCAAATATATAATTTAGCCAATATACAGAATTTTAAAAAAATATTTTATTGTTATCTACATGTACTTTATAGTTATGTAAATAATCTTTGACACTTATTTTTCTTTTCCTCATTTATTATTTGGAGTATGGACTGCCAAGGAATTTCAGGATTTGTAGGCTAACTTTTAGAGCAATGGCACACTGCCTCTGGCCGTACAAAAACCATGAATCAAGAGGTCACTTAAAAGCACAGATGCAAAATATTCATCTGTAACTCTTTGTTCTTTCTTAACTTTCATCAGTAGTCCTCAAAATCCTTGCATTTTCTAATAGTAATATGATGTCATTTGTATATTTTATTTGATGTTCCTTCCCTCAATTTCCACACTTCCCTCCTGTGATATTCATTGCACGTTCCTGTTAATATATTTCCTTGTTTGACTCCCAGTTGTCATTCTGTTTGCCATACTATATCTTGACAGTGGCGTCTTGTCCAGAGTATGGAATATGTATTAAAATGGACAAATGATGTGGCACACCTAATTCTTTTAGAGTTCATAATAATTTTTCATGATCTTCATAGACAAAGGCTTTCCTATGATCCTATGAAGCCCAAGTTTATTTTTTAAAAGTTATATGATGTGCTCCACTAGCGAGTATATGTTTGCAATATGATCTCTAGTGCATCTTCCTTTTTACACACAACTTGGGTATCTGACACTTTTCACTCCATATATGATAAAAACTGTAATAAAATTGTGAGTATATCTTTGATTGTATGGAAGATTAATATGATGATCTGATAACTACTCCAATTCCTGGTCTCTCTCTCTCTCTTAAAATATAGTCCTACAAGCCACAAGCAAACCACATACAAACCACAATCTTTGCTGTCCAGTCTCTATTGGTGTGGGTATTGTCTTCCCCTCAAATCTCATTGTCTATTTGTGTATGTAAGAGGTGCTGTCTAAAACAAATGTTTCTTCCAACTGGTAGGCATTTACTTGTCAAAGAAATGCAAATCTGTGTCAATTCCAGAATAAAGAGTTGAGTTTAGTGCTTTTCATGCTACCGGTTCATAACTACTGCTTCAAAATGAGAAACCCAGCTGCTACTTTCAGGAAGGAACTAAAACTTTGCAGTCATTGGGCCCCTCTCAAAAAATGTACTCAGCTTGTAATCATAGAAGTGAAGTGGAGCCATTCTCCTGTAATCAGTAAAATCTTTATTTTTTCTGTTCTCCTATGATGGTAGGTTTAAATTCCTAGTTTGAATAGAAAATATACTAGCTTCCTTGACTTTCCAAGTGAGAGTTGGAGCAGCACGGCTCTATCTCTGTTATAGAAGACTTGTAAATATCGCAAGTTTTTGCATCTAATTATTAACTACTCTGCTTTATCAAGGCCAAATGGATGTTAGCTTTCTCTGACATTTACCCTGTAGCAAAAAAAAAAAAGATAATAATATTTGCATTTGTTTAAGAATTTCAGGGGGATAATTTGTAGGAATAAATAGTAAATGGTGCCTTTAAAGTATTTTCAACTCTAAATAAGAAATGCTTTTCTTAAGCCCAGTAGCTAACATAATTTTGGGCCAGGCTTTAGCACAGCAGGTTAACCACCAAGCTGCAGCTGCAGTAAATCTTGCCAACCAAAAGGTTGACAGTTCGAGGCCTGGGTCAGGCTGATGTCCTGCCTTCAGCCCAGCTTCTGCCTACCTAGCTGTTTGGAAAATAGCAGTGTGAGTAGATAAATAGGTACCACTTAAAGCAGGGAGGTATTTAAGGCACCCATAAGGAAATGCCAGAAAAATGCCTGCTATTCGATCGAGGAGGAAGTTTACAAACAAAGCTCTTTGGCAGGGATAGTGGAGCGACAGCACACTCCCCATGACTGGAAATGAGCACAGCCTCCAAGATGCCAAAGATGAGAAAGCCAATATATACCTCTATGTACAGTTGTCTGCCTTGTCAGTGTATAACGGCTTTGAATGTTTGCCATATATGTGTTCTGTGATCTGCTCTGAGTCCCCTTTGAGGTGAGAAGAGTAGAATATAAATACTGTAAATAAATAAATAAAATTTTGTCTTCAGAAACCATATTTCCCATTTTGGAGATAGTACAAAAGAGGTTCATGGAGGAGGAGTAACATTCTGAAGCTTAAAGAGTAGAAATGTACTGCCTTTGGAACTGTTTTAATTTTTATACTGTGGCAAAATACTATATTTAGAATTTCATAGAGAATATCACTGACATTGGTATGGAAGTAAATAACAGAGAATGAGCAACATTGAAATGAGCAACAACCAGCACAAATATATGTGTATGGTCATTATGGGAACATACTTAATTAGTAGTAGTTTTCTACTGTTTCTTTATTGTATTTATGGCCCACTTCTGTTTTAAAACTTACATCTTATGTTTCACATTGAAGGTTTCATGTTTCAGTTTCTCATGTGAAACTGCCATGTGTTAATATATAGAAAATAGTGTGAGGGATTCACGTTAGTTACAAGGTTGGCCCTGGGAGATAAAAGTATTGGCTATTAGCTGATATCAGTGTGATAGCTAAGGCATTGACTTAGGGGTGGACTGCAGCAACTATGGGCTTGCCTATACTAGTTAAAAAAAAACTGTGGACTGACCTCAAATGGAAAGCTATCTTTCAGTTGCACAGCTACTTCAAATGAGTGTCATGTTTCATTGTTGTTAGAACTGACTTTGTCTCATTTTGCTCAAAGTCAGGGGATACTTCAGAGTTTTTTTTGGAAACTGACATCCGGAAGCTTCTGGATCCGATTTGGCCCAGTCCTCTGTCCACATTGGGCATCAGTGCTATCACTTTTTCCTTTGCTGATAAATACAGGGAAAACGGATGGATTATGACTGTGTCATCACCATTTATAATTGGCCAAGGAGCTCCTTGTTTGCTTCTGGCTGTCGCCTATGCTTACATTTATTTACTTTGTTTTATATCCCATCCTCTCTCCCTTGTGGAGGTACTCAGAGCGACTAAGTACATCAGAAAAGGACACTTCCATAACCAATCTGAAGAATGGAGCAGTCTTCTCTCCTCTTTCTTGCTCACACCTGTTCTGACAAGGGCAGAGATGCCTGTGTGTCTAGGTGATCTTCCTTCCTCCTCCTTAATCACCTCTGCCGATATCAGAATAGGGCGCACTTGTATGACCAGGAAGAAGAGAGATGAGATCACCTGTTTTTTGTGCTGGTCCCAAGGATGCTCTGTTCTGATATCATCAGAGGTATCTGCTACTGCTACATGTGCGTGGAGGTCCATAGCTGGTTGAGGGTGGTGGCAGCAGCCCAGCAGAGCGGATTAGCTCACCAGTCATGGGAAGAACAGCTCCAGATTTGGCATGGTTTCTGTGCTGCTCCAGGGCACATTTATATTCTCTTCATCATTGTTATCCTCTGGTATGGTCTGTATTGATTTGATGCTGGTACTTGAAAGTGTGATTTTTCATGCAGCCTATATTGGCTCACTTGGAGGTTTCAGTTTGGAGTTTCTGCTACAGACACTTCATATGAAAAACTTTGCAGTAGTATGCACACATAGAATGCCAACCAGTCTTAAACACTGGTTGTGAAAGATGTCTCAGGCAAAAACATACGTAAAAGCTGACATTTCAGAAATAACAAGTGTAGCTCTGGAAGCAGCTCCTGTATCATTATGCCCAGCACTATTTTCCCTATCCAAGATTAGTCCCTGTAATTTTGCTACTACATACCACACACAGATGGCTTAAAATAATGCAAAAGAAGCTAGTAAGCCATATGGTCCTGGTAAAGGGCTACCTTACTCAACTGCATTGAATTGGTGCTTTCTTTTTGGCATCTGTCTTGATGGACTGTATGTCTTGTCCTGTGGGCTGGATTTGAGCCATTTGTGTCTATTCCAAGTGCCACATACCTTGGGGAGCATGGGAGCTTTAGCAAGGATTTTCCTCTTAGAAAGCTTTTTGTTAATTAGACTGATTCTATGGCAATGTAACTGTTCCCCTCCCTCAGCAACAGGAAAGCAGTGAGAAACATGTGTAGCATTTGCAATCTATTTAATTTGTAAGCCACTCCCATTGTGTCTTATTGAAACAATTATTGGACTTTTGAATGAATCTGGAGAAGGCACATGACTTCTGCAGAAGAAAATAAATTGTACTAACTCTCTAGTTCTAATGAATATGTGAGATGCCTACACTGAGCTGTAACTTTTGAAATTTTACTGTAAATGCACTGTTGTCCCCAAACAAGGTAGTAGTAAGCATTGTTTCTCACACTGGTGCTACAATAAAGGAGATAAATTAATATGGCTGGCCTTGTGTTGTGGTGGGTGTTTCATGCACCTTTTGAACAGAAGCTAGCAGTGTTACATTAGTTCCTTCACTAATTAGTTTGCTATTTCACTTATGGGAAAGTGCAGGAAAAAAACACTTTCTGTCCAAATAATAAAAAATAACAATCTTCAAACTTTTAAGTTTTGTGTTACATTTTTGAAATTTCATCCTCAAGTGATTCAGGAGATACACTTAAATATTGTATATCTGGTGGGGTGGGTCCAACTTGGCTATTGCATGAATGGGAAGCCCCTTCTTGAGGAGGAAGTCTTGGCTAATTCTCTTATTCCTCTACAACTATCCATATTTTGCCTCTCCATTGCTCTAACACAAGTGGAACTTTGCAACATAGGTGCAAAGTAGAAATTCGCATTTTAAATAATAATTATCTGAGTTCTTTATATATGTGTGGAAAAGAGAACTTAATGTGCAATCTGTTCTGTCCTATCTTGCCCACAGTCAACCTAAATAAGTCAACTTCAAAGGTGAACAGCAGCATTTCTCCATGATGGTGGCTTTGCTAGGATGTCATGCTAGAGGTTTCAGCTTAACTAGGATAAAGTGAGATGTAAACTGAAAAGGCCTGTTTTTGTCTCTTGTCTTCCCTGTATCCTTTTATATGAGGTGTTTAGAAACATTTGCTTCCACTCTTGCTTAACCACAATTTGCCACATTTCATAACATGTGGTTACTATTAATTACTGTAAATAATTGAACTTTTTAAACCACACCTTGAAGTTGATTTATTTGAAACTCAACAGTTCAAGTGGCCACATTTTGTCAAAAATTCTCCCTTGACACATGTGGGATGTTGGAGGAGCAAGACTAGGAGTAATATAGATTTTGAATCCAGTGGTACTATTTCCTCACACTACAGAATGAATCCACTTTAAATCCGGTTTCTGCCTCCTGCAGAATTCTGGGGTTTGTAATTTAGTGAGGCTGTTAACTCCAGAATTCTGCAGGAGGCAGCAACCAGATTTAAAGTGGATTAATTATCTGGTGTGATGAAGTACAAAAAATTTACTAAATTCCATCTTTGTTCACAGTTTTCCTTGCATAAGAGTCAACTCCAGGAAAGTAGTGAATGCAAAAAGTCTTTGTAGAAAGGAGCTTTACTGTTCGGTTTGTTGACTAACATGCTTATAATGGCGTCAGTCTTAACAAATTCCAGATGGATATCATTGCTAGTGTCTTGAGAACAGAAACAATACAATGGTGTGGTATCAAACCTGTTGTGGCTCTTGTTGGCCAGAATCTGCATTATCAAGTACTACAAATTACCTGTGACACCAAAGTGAAATGTTTAGTTTTTTAGTCCCTCAGAAATTTTGCTGCTTTTGGTAACAGTTATCTACATTTTTCTTTGGAATAAATGTTGGCTTATTTTGTGGAAAATATGCATGTGTTAATTCGATGTTTATCAGTTTTTTAAATTTCTACTTCTGTCCATGGGATTTTTGGTTTTAAATTCTGCCAGTAGAATTCTGAATAGTTAAAAAAATGAATGTGTTTTGTTTTGCAGAGCTCCTGAAATCATTCTAGGTTTACCATTTTGTGAAGCTATTGATATGTGGTCACTGGGCTGTGTGATTGCTGAGCTATTTCTTGGTTGGCCTTTATATCCAGGAGCTTCAGAATATGATCAGGTAAATACAGGTTTCACATTATCTAATACAATCAGTCTCCAAGTTACAAACGTCTGACTTACAAATGACTCAGAGTTACAAATGGGGTGAAACAACAGGAAGGAAGAGAAATATACCCCTAGGAAGGGAAATTCACTACTGAAAGAGTTGTTATGGGAAAAGGTGTCTCAACTGAAGCTTTCTCACCAGTCCTTGTTTCTTCAAGCCAAAATTTTCAAAATCCAATTCTCAGAGGGACAGAAAGTGAGGTGAAATATTCTGAACAGGGCACAAACAAACAAATACTACGTTGTTAACCCTTCTCTGTGCTATCCAAAGCTTATATATATAGATAGATAGATAGATAGATAGATAGATAGATACAAATTCAACTTAAGATCAAGCCTACAAAACCTATCTTGTTCATAACTTGGGGGACTACTTGTAACATAAATCTAACATGGTACAATGCCTATAAGTCACTCTAAACGCCTTTGCAGAAGCATACAAAAAGCTTAGCCTCTCACTGAACATCAAGAAAACCAAAGTGCTCTTTCAACAGGCACCAGCCAATCCTTCTGCAATGCCAGAAATTCTGCTTAATGGTGTAATGTTAGAAAATGTTGACCATTGGCAGCCACTTCTCCACAAAAATCAACATCGACCCTGAAATACAACACTGTCTGAGCTCTGCAAGTGCATCATTCTTATGAATTAAGCAGAGAGTGTTTGAGAATTGAGGCATTCGTAGGTAGACCAAGATGCTTGTTTATAAACCCGGTTATATGCCTGTGAAATGTGGACCATCTACAGATAGCACACTCAACTCCTGGAATGATTCCATCAGTGTTGCCTCTGAAAAATCCTGAAATTCTCTTGAGAAGACAGGCAGACAAATATCAGCGTGCTGGAAGAAGCAAAGACCACCAGCATTGAAGCAATGGTCCTGTGCCATCAACTCCGCTAGACTGGGCATGTTGTCCGAATGCCCAATCACCATCTCCCAAAGCAGTTACTCTACTCTCAGCTGAAGAATATAAAACGGCAGGTTAGAGGACAGGAAAAGAGATTTCAAGATGGGCTTAACTGGAGGTCACCTCACCGACAATGCTGTGGAATTTGTAGAGGCACAAATGGAGGGCGAAAAGCAGAAATGCATCAAGAGGAAGGCACATCAAACCAACCCTGGCCGGGACCGCCTCCCATCTGGAAACTGATGTCTTCACTGCAGAAGAACGTGAAGGTCAAGAACAGGGCTTTACAGTCACCTATGGACCCTCCACCAATTCACTTTTCTTGGAAGGCCACCTTACTTGGACACATGTGATTGCCGATGATGACAACGACATCTATATTGAACCATGCTTTCAGATATATCATTTTCCTCCTTATGCTGTGACCTGAAAATATTTGGTATGTCTAAAATATATATTTTTATATACAGCTTTTTTTTTCAGAAGTTGATCAGTAGGCTGTTTCACATTACTTGGTTGATGTAAGGAAATGTAAAACAAAATGTACAATGTTATGATTGAAAATTCGGATATGGTTTATTTTACAAAACATGTTTGAATTGTATTTGTTGTTAACCAGGCCTTCCTAATAAATTAGCAGACAGGAAGATAACTATGTTCACTATTTGCTCTCCCTTGTTGAAGTGTTGCATGTGGAGTGGCCATTTAAGGTTAACATTTTGCACTGCCTACATTAAATCATGAATTTTCAGCAGTGTTGGTTTTGAAGAGGAAAGGTAATGTAGTGAAGTAATGTGTACAAAACAGAAAGAAACCCGGGAAACAATATTCTCCTTAAATTAAAATAAGCAAGTGTAATTCTGGAACTCTTGTTTCATTGTACTTGATGTGTGTGTTTATCCTTCCAGTGCAGGTGTGGGCATCTTGTAGCCCTACATTTTTATTTATCATGTCAGGAACGAACCAAAACTGTTGTATTCAAATAAAAACAAGCAAACAAACAAAACACAAAGTTTGCAGACTTGGTATTCTATTAAATGGCCTTTGAGTGCCTCTGGTTTTCCTGCAAGAGTCCTCCATTGTGCATGTGACAGGGCTCAGGTTGCATTGCATTAGGTGGTCTGTGGTTTGCTCTTCTCCACACTCGCATATTGTGGATTCTACTTAGTAGCCCTATTTCTTAAGGTTGGCTCTGCATCTTGTGGTGCCAGAATGCAGTCTGTTCAGTACCTTCCAAGTCGCCCAGTTTTCTGTGTGCCCAGGAGGGAGTCTCTCATTTGGTATTAGCCATTGATTGAGGTTCTGGGTTTGTATGATATTGTTTCTAGTGCCCACTTTTTGCTTGATATTCAGGCAGTACTTCTTGTAGGTCAGATCACGGTCCAGGGTAACTCTCAGGTATTTGGGTGTGCTGCAATGCTCCAGTGGGATTCCTTCCCAGGTAATCCTCAGAGCTTGGGATGCCCTACAGATGGGCTCCTCTTATCCCTAAATATAATAGAATATTTGAAAACTCACAGTGGTAAGGGGAAAATATTTTAGCAGTTGTGATGTTTTAGTTATTATAATTCGAATGTGTTAGTGTGCTAAACTTCCCGCATGTGTGTCCAAAGTCCTCTAGTAGGCAGAGGTGTTTGTTTAATCAGTAACACTATCCAGGACAACTGGAAATGGTTGGGTGGTGGGTTCAGTTGAGAAATCCATTCAGCTTAGCTAGAAACTGGTTGGAGCTAAATGATTTAGTCGTATCACAATCCATAATCACTAGTGTTAAGGTGTGCAAAGAGTACTTTAGTTGAAGTATTCTTCTGATACTTGCATCCTTTTCTTTAAAAGCATAAGTTCTTTTCAAGGGTGTTAAATGCTTACGAGAATCCGATCTAATTGTTAAGGCATTTTGGGTTGCTCAAGTTTAATGTTTAATGCATTTTAATAGATTGATCAATGAATAAGCATGAGATGTAAAGATACAGAGGATGTGTATATGTGGGTATAGATTTAGAACAGCAATTGACATTTATTTCAAAACAAGCTGAATATGTTTGTCAAAAAGTGACTGTTTCAGCCTAGAAACCTTGTTTGGAAGATTATTTTAAACCCTCTCCAATATATTCCTTTTCTTGAAGTTATTAAGAGGCAAATCCTATTGTTTCTTCCAAGGATAGAGCAATTAAATTAGTGGGAACCTGACCCCAGAGTTCTGTATAAACCCCAGTGATTCTATTTGAGACTAGAAGTCGGATTCAAGCCAAACACAACTTCCTGGGATTTTCATTAGTACTTTTTTTCTATTTCAGATTCGTTACATTTCACAAACTCAAGGACTTCCAGCAGAGTATCTTCTGAGTGCAGGAACGAAAACAAGCAGGTTTTTTAACAGAGATCCAAACTTGGGATACCCACTGTGGAGACTAAAGGTTTTTATTTTTCTTTAGAATTTGTTGTTTGTAGCTAGTTCTTTCAGTTTCCTTGTTGCTAATGTATCTTAAATGCCAATCAGATCTCCTTATGAAGGTGAGAAACAACTATGTACATTTTTCCTCGATCTTAAACATTTTACTCTCTAAAATAAATTATTGTAGCATAATGAAGGCCAGGTGAATGACAAATGAAAGGGAGGATTACGGAAGAATTGGGACAGGCTTATTCCTCCTCTTCATATTTTGTCATACAAGTCTGCTATTATGTTTCACTGTTGTGCTTGTTTGGAAACATTCAGTAAAGCTGGCTTAGGAGCCAGATAGATCTTAGGATTGTGAGAGATAGGTTGATGAAACACAGTGTGTGGTTGCTGTAGGAAAAAATGACAGACTATATTGGACATAATTAGAAAGAGAATTTAAAGTGAAGTTTACCAGATACAAATAATACATAATGTAGCCCCATATGGAATACCATTCTAGTTCTGGTCACAACGCTTGAACAGGGTATTGCGTAACTGGAGAAAAACAGAAAAAGAAACCAAAATGAAAAAGGAATTGGAATCATTTCCCTGCAAGATAAACGGATATATGATAAAAATGTATGAAATCACCCATGTGGAGAACCAGAGGTTATTCATAAAATCTAGAAGGTGGGAGAGTCAGAACAGATAAAGGAAACATTTCGTCACATTCGCTTGTGTATGTGCCTCCAAACCATTTCTCAACTTAGGCTAACCCCATACATTTCATAGGGTTTTCTTAGGCAAGGATCTCTCAGAAGTAGTTTTACCTGTTCCTTCACATAGTACATAATTAATCTGTGGAATTAATTGTCACAAGATACAGATACTTCCTAAGAAGGTCATTTTCTACACCAGAGGAAGTATGCCTCTGAATATCAGTTGCTGGGGAGCATGAGAAGGAGGGTGCAGTTGCACTCAGGTCCTGGGAAACTGGTTGTAGTGTGACTCTTGCTTTCCTTTGCTTTTGTCATTTGCTTGGGAAATTATCACAGCTATTCAAAACATTCTTTCAGAGACTTGAGCTCTCTCTAAAACTGCCATTATGACTGCTTTGTGAAATGCCTGATTCCTTTCTCAGGTTTGTTTATATTTGACCATGGAAACAAATGTTAATTTCGCACCAATGCATTTTCACAAGTTTAGGTAACAAGGTTACGACAGCCTACCATTTTTGTTCCATAGATCATTCAATTTTTCAATTGCTAATTGTTTGTTGAAATAGCATTAATTTATGGTATGAAAATGCTAATACCTTCTTTCAGTTATTTGCAATCTGTATTTTTTTAAATAGACTCCAGAGGAACATGAGTTGGAGACAGGAATTAAATCAAAGGAGGCTCGGAAGTACATTTTCAATTGTTTGGATGACATGGCGCAGGTGAGATGCCGATAAGGAATTATTCTGCCTTTCAAAGACTGAAATTATAATCTATTATTTCATAGCTGAAATATTTAGTGATTTGCTTTACATAGTAGTTAAGGATGTCACTCCACTCCCTACTCTCTTGGGAAAGAAAGGTACAGTTTTTGTTGTGTGCCTTCTAATAATTTGCAACTTAAGGCATTTCTAACACAAACCTTTCACAGGATTTTCATTGCAACATTGATTCATAGAGAATGATGACCAAGGTCACCCAATGTTTCCTGTCCAAGCAGGGATTTGAAATCCTGGTCTTTTGGAATCCATTCCAACACTTACAGTAAACTACTACTCAATGCTTGCTCTCAAAATAACCAGATAAAATAAGTGAATAAAAATAACTACGCAGTTATCCGCAAGCAAACCCAGTGTGAACCTTGTAGACATGATGTCTGAATTAATGTGTTTAGGATAATATTTTGAGTTTACTAGGCCTCTTTGAAGCATTTGTTAAGTAATAAAGTAAATTGTTTTCAGTATAAAATGCAAAAGAATGTAGATCTGAATCTAAAGATGATTTAAAATTGCATTTTAAAGCTATTAAGTAAAACTGCTTTGTGTTACCAGTAATAGTTATATTATAAAATTATTTGTTTTGCAACAATACTAGTTTTGACATCTTTCTCCAAAGGTGAATATGTCTACCGACTTGGAGGGAACAGATATGTTGGCAGAGAAGGCTGACCGAAGAGAATACATTGATTTGTTGAAGAAAATGTTGACAATTGATGCAGATAAGAGAGTTACTCCACTGAAAACTTTGAACCATCCTTTTGTGACAATGAACCATCTACTGGATTTCCCACACAGCAACCAGTGAGTTTATGGCACAGAAGTATGAAAGGATGCTTGTTGATTAATTCATGATTGTAAATATTCTGAAAAATTAAGAGACGTGGGCAACAGGCACCCTGCAGGCTACATACCTCTCTGGAAGATTTTTGTAATTTTCCCATCTCAAACTCAGTTTTAAAAGTTATTTAATCCCCCTTTTTTGGTTTAATAGATTCTATTTTGCCTACTCCTGCTTTAGAACAAGTAATAAATAAAACAGCATATCAGCATACAGCTGGCCCGGGGGGGGGGGGGGGGCTACATTACATTGACCAAAGGAATTATCTGCACCAATTCTAGTGTCACCATTAATGACTTTTACGCATGTCTTCAATTTCTCATAGGCAAATAATCTTTATATACTGAACATAATGAGGTCAGAAAAGGAAAAGAATGGGAGGTGGTAGTGATTGCTTCCGTCCCTCTATAGCACCAAACTTAAAGTCCAACTGCAGGGCCCTGGAAGATAAAATGACACCAGGGTCATAGTAGGTTTGTGCAAAAGGAAAATTCCTTTACTCTTTACAGCAAAGTTCCAGCAGAGAAGAAAACAGTTTATCCAGATGTAGTAGAAAATGTAGTCCTTCAGCATTCCAAATAAAATATAGCTTAATTGAGTGACTTATTTACAAAACAAATGGTCCTTTCTAACGAGCATTGTATCAACAATCTGCAGGAGAAAAATAACAGAGCTGGACACCATCAACAGCTGTTTGTAAAAAGCCCCAAATGGTATACTCAAACCTCCCTAGTTATGCCCTGTTGATTGCAGCAAGAGAAATCACTTGCATTGATTAACCCATGCAACACACCTGTATGTGGACCCTTTCTTTCTTTCTTTCTTTCTTTCTTTCTTTCTTTCTTTCTTTGCACATACATCTACCTTAACCTTGGTGTTTATCCTTTCAAAAACTCACCCAGTTTTCTGTATATTTTAACAGTCTTTGGCTAACATTTTGCCTTCCTTGTTTTAGTGTGAAATCCTGCTTTCAGAATATGGAGATTTGCAAGCGAAGAGTTAATATGTATGACACAGTAAATCAAATAAAGAGCCCATTCACAACACATGTGGCACCAAACACAAGCACAAACCTTACCATGAGTTTCAACAACCAACTCAATACTGTGCACCATCAGGTAATCATTTACATTGGGTTTTTTTCCTTTGGAAGGACAAAAGAATACTGTTCTTTTATTAATTTTTTGTTTAGTAAAAGAAATTCTCTAGATAGCTAGACTTGGTTTGCAATAGTTGCATATAATTTAAAGTAAAATTGGTACAGTATTACTAGGCAGCTGCCACAGAACTATAAATGTGTATGAATTACAAATTCCATTCAAGAAACAAGTAATGTGTATATGATCCTTCTCTTCCCCACCTTCAAAAAGTACTGTGGGGTCAAACTTTAACTGACTGGTTTACCCAGTGGGTTTTATGGTTCACTGGGGACTTGAAAACAGATCTAAATGCAACAGCACATTTGGGAAAACTTTTGTTCTACAAATGTTTTGGACTAAAACTTCCTCAGACTCTTATCAGTGACCCTGTTGGGTGATGATAGTGAGAATAGTAGGCCAAACCATTGAAAATACCAAAAGTTTTGTTGTTTTTAAAATACTTGGAAGAGGGAAATCTAATGTTAGATGCTTTTGTTTTTTCAGGCTAGTGTTTTGGCTTCCAATTCTACAGCCGCTGCTACTCTGTCACTGGCAAATTCAGATGTTTCCCTGTTGAATTACCAGTCTGCTTTGTACCCATCGTCTGCTGCACCAGTCGCTGGGGTGGCACAGCAGAGTGTTTCTCTACAGCCTGGAACAACACAGATCTGCACCCAGACAGATCCATTTCAGCAAACCTTCATTGTGTGTCCTCCTGCCTTCCAAAGTAAGTATATATATCAGGGAACTCTTGTAAACAATATAATTAAAGTGTTTTGTCATCTATACAGCTTGGGTGGGTTAAATTGACTATCTGGAAGCTACAGATATTAAAGCGACTTGAACAAGTAAAGGTGGGACAAACTGCACTTGAGAATATGCACACACAAATAATATTTTGATGCCTTACTGCCTTCATTGACACAGATAGATGATGGGTCTCTTATTCCTTGTCACCATTTTTGTAATATCTATGCACCAAATCATAGTGATTTGCAAGTAGGGGGACAAAACTCTGAAATCCCAGGTTACCTTAATTAGCAGTTTTACCTATGCAATTTTGAATATAATTATTTCATGAAGTGGAATGGTTTTGTTTGGCTTTAATGCCTCAAACCATTACTCTCCCTTACCATGGTACACTCCAAAAAGACAACTACATATTAAATGGTGTACTCCAGGTTGTCTAAAGCTTTTCTCAGAGTACAAGAAAATACTTGTTTTTCTTTGTCTCATCAAACACCTTTCAACTGTAGCCTTGAATTTGTGTCTCAGATGTCATGCTATAATTTCTTGAATACTAGGAGAAGAATCAATATTTCTGTTGAGGGAAATCCACCAGTCTTTTTGTTTCATTTGAAGCATAATGCCATTGGATAGCTGATATTTCAGGGAAATATTGGCTATCCCTTGATAGCACTGGAGATAAAGATAAACTAGAGCATTACTAGGAAATAATGGAAACACATACTTTGAAATAGCCATTTTTCATGTTTTGTCTCCCAGCTGTTTAAAAATAATCCTGCTGTTATCTTATTGGTTTTGAGTTACAGTACAGTTTTGATTAAAATCAGCTTATTGTGTTGACTGTCAGCCAGTGTTTTCTCTTTTCAGTAATCATAATTACAGAATTGTTGTAAATTCATAACACTTTCCTTGCTGGTAATTGTGTTCTGGAAAATGTTTAGATAGTTAGAAGAGCAGATTAACTCTGGTCTTACTTTTATTCCTTCAGCTGGTCTTCAGGCAACCACAAAACATTCTGGGTTTCCAGTGAGGATGGACAATGCTGTTCCAATTGTGCCGCAGGCACCAGCAGCCCAGCCATTACAGATACAGTCAGGAGTTCTTACACAGGTAAAAGTAGGGGCAGTAAAGTAGATTGTCATAAATAGCTGCATAATGTTCTTGGTGTGTCTTGATTGAAGTTGGGAAACCAGATATTCCTGATTATTTTCATGTCATGGGCAGAGTTCTGCTTATGACCACTGAAGAACAGACAACAAAACATGGGCACTAGTCTGTTCCTTCACCTAATCGCTTTTCTGTTTTAAAATTTTGGCCCTTATAAATGAATACAAAGCCAAAATTTTAGGAAATTTAAATCACCAGGTACAGATCTGTTTATTGTTTCTGTACCAAACTATTTTCACAAATGGTAATATGTAAGAAAACAAATGATTAATCGCAAATAGCAATTTTAACTTTCTTTCCACATTAACAACAGCACTTCTTGCCCCATCATTGTTTCCTATTGTGTGATTAAATTCAGAAAATGAATAATTGTATAAAATATTTAGGTTTGAGTATTCACTATGTTGATAGTCCATTTTGTATTTTGCTATATAATCACAGGATTTTTTTTCTTCTGGAAGTGTTTTCTTTTGCTACACATTTATTTTTATAATATGGATGTTTGTTCCCCAACAGAAGATCATGAAAATGTAATAGTAACAAAATATGTAATAACATAATTTCATAGCAATGGGACCTGGTTGTCACATTGCAAATTCTATTTCATAGCAGACATGGTGAAATAGAAAGTACTTAATAATTCATCCCTTACAAATTATTATTTTGGAAGGTATTTGGAAGCACTCAAATGCAACACAGACCTCACAGTGTTCTATATAAATGCTAGAAACATGATTGTTATCTTCCAATCTAAAATCATAAAAACATTTAATTAAATCATACCAATTGTTGAATTTTTCTTTGTTTATGTATTTACTTTTTACCAGGAAGCCAGTGGGAAGGCAGTTGTTGTTGCTGTTCTTGTGTCAGACTACTAAAACACTGGTTTAACAATTGAACACTTCCATTAAGCCATTTTAGAGACTACATTTTTTTCCCAAGCCTTCCGTGCTTTAGTTTAGAAATCACTCATGATTATCTCAAGAGTACCAAACACAGGAAATGTGTTCATTGATATACAGGAGTATTTAAAATCCCTGCATTCAAGAGATTCTGAATTAAGCTGGTACAAGAACATATTGATTTTGCAGTCCATACCTATGAATTCTGCAAGCCACTCAAAACACCACTAATATCCTTGGGGAGAAAGCCTTTCTGGCCCTGTTGCCTCAGTACATTTGTTTCACTCACTGCCTAATCTACATTTCAGGGAAGCTGTACACCACTAATGGTAGCAACTCTTCATCCTCAAGTAGCCACCATCACGCCGCAGTATGCGGTGCCCTTTACTCTGAACTGCGCAGCCGGCCGGCCAGCGCTAGTAGAACAGACGGCTGCAGTACTGGTAATTGCCTCCCTTGATTGTGTTCACTAACGGAGTTTTGTTTTAACTTAGACTTGCAGAGGGCATGGAAGCATGTGCCATCTTGTGGCTGTGTTCTTGCTACATCTTAATGTCTCGTTGTTTTTCCTCCCCAACATTGCTGAAGCACTGTCTGACTCTGACGTTTAGTGTTGCTCTGTAAAGAATCCAGATCCATTGACTGTTGTTCTTTACTAGCCTTAGTATGGCAGCTAATCCAGCTCTTCTCCTAGTTTGAGAAGAGTGGCAATTGTGTTTCTTCTTTTCTTTACTCTCCTATCTTTTTAACGTTTTATTGATTGAAAACAAAGGGGACTGCCCATAGGTTGACTCTACCGCAGGTATCTGAGTAGCCATGATTTGACAAGTTTAATTCTTTTTTTAATGGCTTCTTTGCATGTAGAAATGTTTCAGGCATTTAAAGCCTCTAATATCAGCAAATGCTTTATTAATTTATGGCTTTAACAATCCAGATTTCTTAACTTCCATTGAACAACTCTGACTCTAATTCTCCCTGGCCTTTCATTACTTCTGACCAATCATTGGCAGTGTGCATCATCCTCAGAGAGATGTTGCTTCCCACCAATGCTTTTAGTTCCTTTTGCATTTCTTGGTTGAGATTAAAGGTGAGCTCTTAACCTTCTAAACTCTTTCTTGGGATAATGTGTTCTTAAACACTCACTAGGAAGCAGCAATGTGTATTATCAAAATTTCCTTTCTCATTTGGCATTAGTGTGGCACGTTTATTGGAATTCACTCTGCAAAGTGCCATAAAACAGTCAATTTGGAAACTCCAGAATCAGATCAGTGAAGCTAATGGAAACATTGCAGCGCACTTGAATCTGTGGTGTCCTCACATGTCTTGCAAAGCACATTTCCATTTGTTACATACATCATTGTCTTCTGTGGCTTTAAAGTGATAATTCATAAGTATCTTTCTCTTCCAATGGAGAGAAATGAAGCATTGTTTGCTCAAGTCTAAAGAAAAGTCTCACCAAGATATGTAACTCCGCATTGCTATGTGTGCTTCAGAGAGTGCAACATGGCAAGCGAGAGAGATTCTTAAAATGTGTTTATGTGCTGATAAGACCATTAAGGCTTCTTTGGCCTCTGGTTTGCCTCCCCTCATTCACCTCAGGTTGAACTTCCTTTGCTGAAACTTGGGAAGTGTATAAAGGGGAACCAAATGTTCAGCAGCCGGTTGTTATCAGAAAAGTGCTTGTCAACTGGCTCAGAATATTGGTAGTAGATTGAATCCAGGGCTTACATACTCTGCATTTAATCAAAATGCACAGTCAAGAAAGGTTGAATTCTGAGATCTGTATAAATTATGCAGATTAAGCATATTATGCATATATGTGGTATTTGCATAATTTCATTTCTGCTCTTGAGAAGGGGAGACGAGCTCTGCAAGGCGCTGACCACATGAACTCCTTGTATGTTTGCCCCACTCTTCTAAGATTTCCCCAGGCGTTGTGTGCTTTCAAACATCTTTGCACCCCTTAGGGCTTAAAATTTTACTTTAAAATAGTACTTAAACCTGAGATTCTTAGATTGCTGAATTTTGCACCTTGTGCTATTTTTTTTATTCATATGGTGCAATGACAGATTATTCCTCCCCTGACTAAATCCATGAACCTGCTTGGATCCTTCTTTTCTCTCTGTGAATTTGGCTTCTGATAGTCTTTTGCCTGAAGTGCTCACCTTTAGTGCTTTCAACACTTCTCCCTTTTGCTGCTCCATCTAAGTTTGCATTAGCCATGCTAAGCTTTGCATATTTTTGTCCTTCCTCTGTCAAAACAGTTCGTCGCTTGGAAGGCCCGATTCTGCCTCCTGGTGGGACGTTAGATCTCGCACTGTATTAAACTCTCTGCTTTGTCTTGTGCAGGTGTTGGCTTTTGGAAAGAAGCATGGTGTGACTTTTAACATAATTCTCTTTTTTTAATTATTCCGCTTGTGTTGGCAGAGGGGTTAGCAGTTCTCTGCTTGAAGGCTTCATGTTTGGAACCAGTGTTTGTTATGAGCGAGTCTGTTACTTGCAGAAATATACATGGCATGTGTTCAGATTTTTACAGTTTGGCATGTGTTCATATTTGTACAGTTTGAACCCTAGGGGAATAAGATCATATATGTATGTTGTGGCCTAGAAATATTTTACTGCAGAACTTTATTTTGTGAACATCTTCCTGCATAGGGTAATTTTTTCTTGGAAGACTTTATAAACAAGACAGTAAACTGTCTTCTGCTTAGGGTGCAGCCTTTGAGCTAAAGGGGAGGGTACTTTTAGAAACAGAATATTTATGTTCCTCCTGCCTTGTTTAAAAAGCAACATTGCAGTCTGCCCTGGCATTGGGTAAAAAAAAGGAAGCACTTAGTTTGTTGTCTGGAGTAGGTTTTGGAATAGTGTCATCACCTGCAGCCATTTTACTCTGCTGTGATCACTGCTGTAGAGATAATGTTGCTACCTACATCACTGTAGTTATGCGTACCAACAGAATTGTAGACTAAGAGCCCCAATACCTTGCCTAGTCCAGTGTGCCTAATCCAGCTAGGTAAAGCATGTCTGACTTTGCACACAGGACTGTAACTTTGTAGAAGAAATTTACTGAAACTCAGCTTCTTTAGAGTGCTGCACCAGGATGTATTTGCAAGTAAGAGCACAAACATTCTCTGTGTGGCCTACATGCATTCAGCTTACTGCTTTGTGAGTGGATCTGTAGTTCAGTGTATTAAAGTAGATGGTGAGCATGAAGAGGGTGCAGTTTCTGAATCCATTTGCTATTCCAGTTAATAAAGACTTGAGGAAATCAATGCTGTTTACATAAGTGGCATTGATTCAAAAAGTCTACTATAATTAGAACTTACAATTGGATATACTCCTTGGACCCACCTGTGAGGGCAAACTTCACACAGTTATTTCTTATAGGAACACCAGTTGCATCTGAGGTTCAACAAGGATTTTCCCCTCCAGATGTTCTGAGGCCCCAGGGAGGGGGCATCCTGCAGTTTAAGAACCTGTTTCCACCAAATGTCGTTTCTTGTGCTGAGCTTTTGAAGAGATGAATTTGCATATGGTTTCTGCAGTATGATATGAGGCTCCAGCTCCTCCATAGGAGGCCGCTGTGATATAAACAGTTCAAACAGAGCACTTTTGCTCTGTGACCCTTGTTAATTTTTCATTCTGAAAGTTTACACCATATTCCAGTCACATGTCTTTATCTCTGCAAGTTAATAGACTACTGATATTTTTTACTTTAAACAACTTTTTCCCCCAGCTTTAAAAAAGCTAATCTTAGTAAATTGTCCATTTTTCTGTTTGCTGTTTTGCAGCAGGCTTGGCCTGGAGGGACCCAGCAGATCTTGTTGCCTTCTACCTGGCAACAGATTCCAGGTGTTGCCCTGCACAACTCTGTCCAGCCTGCAGCAGTGATTCCAGAGACAATTGGAAGTAACCAGCAGTTGACTGACTGGAGGTGAATCTTTTATAAAGGATGATTTCAGTTCGTATGTAGAAAGTACAGCTGGGTTTTAGGCCAATTGCCTGCCTTTTTGCAGTGCTAACAGACTGGTGGATCCAGAACCAAAATCATCTGTATCTTTCTGAATAGTATAAGTATTTGACCCTTTGTAAAACTGAAATTATGGAAACATCATTCGGGTTTTTCCCCACAGAGATTAGTGTGCAGCAGTGAAAAGATAGTCACTTCATGCATGCTAAATATAACTTTACATGCAGTGACCTGAGTAATATAGTTCATGACATGATGTGGACGTGATGAGAAGGATTTAATAGGATTGCACATCTAGATCAGTGTATCTCAAACTATCGGCAGAGGTGTGTGTGTGCACTAATAGCCTCCCCCTCCCCCCATTGTGACCATTAACCATGGTTGTTTCTTTCCTGGAAACTCTCCAGGGAATAGCATTCAGTGATTTCTAGACTGGTGCCAGTCTATGGGCAACATTTTAGAATAAGATTTGTTTAAATGTCTCCAATTAGAAGGACTTTCCAACATTTGAATAAATTATAGTAACTGGTTTCCATAGTTTGTTCCATAGTGGAAAAACGAAGCAACTGGAGATATCTAGACCATAAATGCTTCATGTGAACATCATGTCATATTATTTGAACTGTATTTTTCAAGTATATACAATTCCTGTCTAAAAATGAAAAGTAAGTACTAAAAGCCCCTTCATGCTATACGATTATGGTCTACAGTTCCACTTTTACTGCCATAACTGCATCCTGTGGAATCTTATGGTTTGGTGAGGCACAGGAGCTCTCATAAGAAAGAGAGCTGAACATTATAGACATCCTCCACTATACTGTGAATCCCAAGGTATAGACACTAGTTGAATACCCCTCTGAAATTCTGTGCCTATTGTTTTGAATGCCTAAATAATAACGTATATTTTCATACTATTTTTCTCTTTGCTTTAGGAATGCCCATTCACATGGGAATCAGTACAGCACGATCATGCAGCAGCCATCTTTGCTGACTAACCACGTGACTCTGGCTACAACCCAGCCTTTGAATGTTGGGGTGGCCCATGTTGTGAGACAGCAGCAAAATAATGCCGTGCCAGCAAAGAAGAACAAACAACCATCCCATAGTGCCACAAAGTATGGACTGCTTTTTGGTGACATTGAGATACCCTTTCTAGATAACAATGTACAGATCATGCTTTAAAAACCTGCCCATATTTTTAGAAGCATGGAAACATTCCGTATTATCTAATATTTTAATAGAGTTACATTTAGAAACAATCAATCTTGGGTCAGGTTGGTCTTGGTTATCTGAAGACTGCCATGCACAGTAGCCTTGGTTTGGTGTTTTTGTAACAATGTGTAATAGAAGCAGCCCAGTTGAAGAACATTGAATATGCATAATGCCTTACAGAAATTGAAGCATTCAGTACACAGGCATCTTGCAATTTTTTAAATTGATGGGCTTTGTAATAATTAGTAAATTACCTGTTGAAAGTGAACTGGTATTCCTTCAAATTGTAAGTTGTGTTATGCCAGTGGTTCTCAACCTGTGGGTCCCCAGGTGTTTTGCCCCCCCCCCCCCTTTATTTCCCAGAAATCCCAGTCAGTTTACCAGGTGTTAGGATTCCTGGGAGTTGAAGGCCAAAATATCTGGGGACCCAAAGAACCACTGTGTTACACTGTTGGTAGATAGATTTGTATATGATAACTGTTACTATATCTTTTCATAGACCTACTTCTACATTGGAGGCCATCCCATCTCAAGTCTACTCTCTCATTGGAAGCAGTCCATTGCGTGCCACATCTTCCTCCTCTAATGCTGTCCTTCCAGGGCAGGAGCAGCACCAGCCCATTGTTATTCCAGACACTCCCAGCCCCCCAGTCAGTGTAATCACCATCCGCAGTGACACTGATGAAGAGGAGGATAACAAATACAAACCTGGAAGGTAGAGACTTAGTATTGTTCTCAGTTCCTTAACGAATTTCTGTGAGGAAGCCACAATTGGGAATAAGGAAAGTGTCGGAACATATAGAGTAATGATAGAGCACATGCAATTAAACAGATACTCCTAGATATAGCCTCAAGTGGGGAAAAGAAAAACCAGTTTGAAATCCTAAAGAACTGCTGCTAGTCAGTGTTGACAGTACTCAATTAGATGGGCAAGTGATCTAAGGTTTCTTGGACACTTATTTTGAAGCGGTATAATTGAACACTTTGCAGTGCACTAATTTAGGCAGAAGTGTCCAAATTGATGCTAAACGTATTGGATCTCCACAGTAAGTATATGTCATGCATGGAAACTGACTCAAGCCTTATATAGGTTATTGCAAACATATGAGTTAAAAATCCAGTAAAAGGATGTGAAAACAGTTAAATAACAAGTACTAATCCCACTGTAATTTGTTCAGTTGTTGTATTCCAAGGGACAAGAGAAGCAGTGTTACCATAGTGTTTGAAGGAATTCAAATGTGTACCTTCAAACGTCAAATGTCTTATTGGTTTTTCAGAATTTAGAATGTTGCAGTCTCTTGTAGCCACAAACGCTATATAAAGTTGCTTGAAACAAATAATAATAATAATAATAATAATAATAATAATAATTTTATTTATGGACCGCCCTGTCTCCCTGAAGGGACTCAGGGCGGTTTTCAACATATAAGGCAAACATACACTGTCGGCAAGAAGACATATAAACAAAATTACATCAAAACAGAACACATGAAGCAATATAGAACAAGACCTCACAACCTCTGAGGAGGAAGCCTGCCATAAATGCAGGTGAAAAGTCAGGAGAGAATGCTTCTGGAACATTGCCATACAGCCCAGAAAACTCACATCAACCCAGTGATTCTGTCCATGAACGCCTTCGACAACACAATATAGAACAACCTAATAAAATAATTAAATATTAGTCATAAGTTAAATTGGGGTGGGGGAAGCCAGTAGCAATATGAGTATATTTGTTTAGCTGAGAGAAGTAACTTAGTAATTCAGTTGTCTGAACTGTGAAAGCTTGCATTTGGTGTCACTCAATGGAATCTTGCGGGTTCCCTATTCAAATGTAAATTGGGACCTACATTTCAGGAAATGCTTTAAGCCAGTTTAATGCAGTGAATAAATTGCTTTAGCTTTGAGTTGCAAGATCCAGATTAGAATCCTTTTAGTTTTCAAGGTGCAGTTGAGCTTGCATTCAATCCAAACCAATGGTTGAATATACTTGGCTAAATCTATGTAAACCTTGATCCAAGTATGATTTTTTCTTCAAGTTGTACGTTTGACAAAGATGTTTTCATATGGCTCCTCCCTTATTTAATCATTTTTTAATATTATCATTTCTCAGACTTATCTGTGTCTTCTACGCATTTGATTAGATGTAATAATAAATTAGAATAATGTTTTCTCTTCAGTTTGGGCACGAAGCAAAGATCGAATGTCATCAGCTATGTTACAGTTAATGACTCCCCTGATTCAGACTCTTCGGTGAATAGCCCCTATGCGTCGAATGCACTCTCAACACTCAGGAGCACCGGAGGCGCACTGGAGCCAAGCAGAGCAGCAAATGAAAGTTCCAGCTCCCGTACCATTATTGTGCCTCTGAAAACACAGCTCAGTGACTGTATTGTAGCCACCCAGGCCTCAGGTAATGTTAGTTGCCTACAAAATCCCATGTATCATCAAGTGGTTTTTTTATTTCAGTCTTTTTTTTCCTTTGGAAGTGCATTTATATAATCTGTAAACTTTTTTCTCTGCAACTTTAAAAATCTGTCATTTGGAATGTCCAAGCAAGGAAACATAGTAAAAAACTAATTTTGCAGTTTGCTGAAGGATGGATATTTTTCAAAACACTAAGGTTTTTGTATTTGCAGGCTCTTTAAACTTTTTTATTTTGGAGGAAGAAATATAGTAAGATAGAATTGTACCTTTATTTTCTTCCTCTTCCTTACTCCTCTTTGGGGAGTAATCTCTGTTGACTCTTAACATTATAAGCTAGGTGCTAAAATACTTTTCATTTGTAAGATTAGTTCTAGATGGAGTTAGTTTGTCCAATTTTAACCTGCTTTTTTGACTAGCTGTTTCTGTTTCTGGCTTCAGTTTTAATAAGGAAGATAATTTCCCAATTAAGAAATTACACAGTGAATAGAATGGCATCATAACATTATGTAGCCCAAATAAAAGCCCAAACAGTGTGATGATGTTACCCTATGGGAAAAGCATCATCTGATTCTTGAAACCATTTTCCTTTTTCTGTTTCCTCTCTGCCATTTTAATTAAAAATATTTCTAAAGCATGGTGACTGTCCTTGCCAAGGCTTATTTCAAGTGTGTGTGTGTGTGCACATTCGCGCATATCCACATGTATGTTACTTTGATAACTGTAGCCATCTGTCAGTGTTAATTTATTTTAAATGATTTGAAACACACGTTTAATGAACTGCATACGTTGTACTTGAGGCATGTTGGAGGCTGCAATCCACACTTGTCTCTCAGTAGCATCTTTCTATGGTTAATAACATAGCACTTATAAATCTGAAGGCACTTCCAAAAGTAAATTGTGATATGTCATAGGTCTGCTGTTTGTGGAGAGCAGGAGAACGATCCAGAAACCATCGTGGTTCTATCCAAAAACTGACCCTGAGACTCAGTTTTGAATCCAAACCACACAGAATCTATTGTGCATATTGTCAGCTAAATTTGATTATTATCATTACAGGTGTCTTGAGTAGCCTGAACAAGACTAAGCCAGTGGCATCTGTGAGTGGACAAACATCAGGGTGCTGTATCACACCAACAGGATACCGACAACATCGGGTAGTTACAAATGGTGTACAGCCCCTCAATCTTAGTCAGGTGAGATGCCTCTTCTGTTTACGGGATTCCACTGTGATATTGAGGCAGTGGCTAATTACTGAATTAGTAAAAAATACACATTAATGTGGAATAGGCTTGTGCATGGAATCGATTTGGCTGATTCCTTTTGGCTAATCCGGCTGGTCTGGCTTGCTTGGATGGCCATAATGGCAAGGGCTCAGCCTACATGTTTTTTTCAGCCACAACAGAATGTATTTATTTATTTATTTACTGCATTTATACTTCACCCTTCTTACAACAAAGGCACAACAGAACAGTGGCTGTCGAAAACTGGCTGCCTTCGGTTACAAGTGGAGTACTGGAGGGAGGCAGCTGCTCAGAAAAGCGTGGAAAAGGAAAAGCGTGGGGGGAAAAGGCACTACTCCAGGGCCTGCAAATCAAGAGAAAAGAGAGGGCTTTTTAAAGGAGACCCAGAGTAGGATACCTCCAGTTCGATGGCTCTTCCTTCCCTGGGAAGTGGAGAAGCCACCTTAAAGTGCCTTATAAAGCTGCATTCTGGAGGGAGAGATAGCAAAGTGCTCGCCTGCAGCACCTGTCTCCTCGAGAGTAGAAATAGCTTTAAAGCTGGTCTCCTCTATAGACAGAAGGGAAAGGATCGCAGAAAGAGTGGTATCTTAACTGTGATGCTTTTAATCCAGGTCTTAATGAAGGACATAAGGACAAGTTATGCCTAAAATGATGGGAAGGGGAGCCTGGGAAGTGCCCCCTCCCCAATAAAGGGCCGGATAGAAACCAAATATTTTGGCTCCCTGGACTGAAAACAGATTTCTGTCCTCCTAAATTTGGGAGGTTCCCAAAAAACGGATTGGAACCCTCACTGAAATCTGGGACACTGAAACTGATTGCGGTTTACATGGATTGCACAAGTCTAGTGTAGAACTCTCGGAAGGAGGAGTAAGATAAAGAGAATTAGCATAGGTAGAAATTTTGAGATGTTTCAATAAGCTTGAATTCAGCAGCTGATTCTATTTCATATCTGTATTGTAGAACAAAGTTAAAGAGCCCCCATGTATAGATGTAGCCACCTTTTGATTGAAAAAGTGTTGTACATCAGTTGAATGAAGACATTATTTAATAATGATATGCCAAAAAAAGCATTTTTTTCTTCTTTTCCCCATACTGAGGGTTTTTTTTAGTTGTAGCAGTATTAAGATTACCTGCTGAAGCATTTTTGGCTACTGATTCATCCTATATCAAAAGGAGTTGCAACCTCCTTTAGAACATCAAGCTAGAGTTAGTGTATGCTGGACAAATGCCAGTCATATTGACCAAGCTCCAGTTTTCCAGCTCCTGATAGAATTCTTATGAATGAATGGTTTCCCATTCTTTATTTCTCTTGCTTTCTAGAATCAGCAAGCAACTGTCCTGGCCTCTCAGGAGAGAAGTGGGAACCCAGCTCCACGAAGACAGCAGGCCTATGTTGCCCCTCTTCCAACTACAATCGCTCAGGCTCCCTACACGTTCCAGCATAGCAGCCCAGTACATCCACATTTGGCAGCAGCTACTGCAAGTCAGCCACACATGTATACCTATGCGCCTACTACTGCTGCCACACTGGGCTCCACCAACTCCATTGCTCATCTGTTTTCCCCTCAGGGCTCCTCCAGGCACACAGCATACACAACCCATCCCAGCACTCTTGTGCACCAGGTCCCCGTCAGCGTGGGGCCCAGCTTGCTCACCTCCGCCAATGTAGCACCGGCTCAGTATCAGCATCAATTTGCGACCCAGTCCTACATTGGTGCTTCCAGAGGATCGGCTATTTACACTGGATACCCACTGAGCCCTACAAAGATCAATCAGTACTCTTACTTGTAGTCCTTGGAGCTGAGGTTGACAATAATCATTCACAACTTGATCATATGAGTGAAGAGATCTACAGTTTGGTTTTGCAGTATTTGGACAGTTTCACAACAGGGACTTCTGCAAAATCAAAGGATGATGAAGGGGGACCATCTCCCTTTTTTGACAGCTTTTTAAATGCGCTCCAGAGTTTGGTTGTACTGTTAGTGGAGCCCTGCTGATTTGGGAAGGGGAAGCTCAGGTTATCGCTGAGCAAAACCTTTTGGATCACACTCACATTAAGCTTTTACAGTTGATTTTAACAGATGCTTTAAAAACAGCAAAGTTCTGCACCCATTTATTTAAAGCTCTTGTTTTCATGTTGATCAGAGAGGAAAAGGAAATCAAGGACTTAAAAATGCTGTTTTAAAAAAACTCTTATACTTACCTAGTACTTGTCTAAATTATTTTAGCAGCTTGCACAAATCCATATTTGCCACTAAAATGCACATTTAACTCTAGGTTGCTAGGGCAGATTTATAAACTTGAGTTAGTGTTTTAAAGTTAATTTTATAATTTACATTCTGGATAGGCAATAGCTGAATTCTGCAAAAGCAGTTAATTCTCCTTCTACCCCAATATATGTGTGCGTATGTATGTTTACGTTTGAGTGTGTGTGTATATATATATATATATATATATTGCTTCCCAGTTTCTTGTTTTTAATTCTTTCCATTTAATGCTAGTGTAGCAAAATCTTTGTTTGCATTTCTCACTTAAATCTTTGTTTTTGGCTCTTTGTAAAGACGAGTCTCCAAAATGAGATGTTTTTAATGATTGTGGAAGCTATGAATTTGCTTCTTGATATGTGAGATAACAGTCTGTGATATGGTTTGACTGTTTTGGTCAGAAAACGTGTTCTCAGCGAGGAATGCTTAGGCCTGCATTGTTAATTTGAAGGCAGATGCCACTGAGAACATCTTCTGATAAGACCACACTGAAATGAACAGGAGATATGCATATGATCACCTGTCTGTCTCTGTAGACTTGATCTGGAGCAGAGGTCTCATACATAATAACTTTTCCAGTTTTAACTTTTTTACAAAAATACAGAAATGGATTCCTTTCCTGGAAACACAGGGACCTCTATCCCATCATGTCTTTTACTGCATGGTCCATTTAGCTAAGGAATCCAGAATTCACCAAAACAGCAACCTACAGATATATACATTTTTATACTCCTGTTAGCAGATTCTCTCTGGTATCTTGCTGGCAAAAAACAAAACAAAAACCTTTAAAGCGCTCTTATTAAGACTTGTATAAAGTAAATGCATGTAGGAATTGCAAAAACATGTCACACAATTGCTGATTTTAAAGGTTTATTACGAAATTTAAAACTATTTTAGAAGTTTTGTAATTGTGGTGTTTTAATATTTTACAGAAAATGAAATATGTACATAGTGATTAGAACAAAATACACAAGCAAAATTTCCTGCAAATCCCAAATGTTCTGTCTTTGTAATCAAAATGTGTAGTGATTATACTTGAACTCTGTACTTAGTGTTTGTCTAATTCTTAAATGTCTCTGGAGTTGAAATTACTCTGTTCCTTTGTATTTAAACCAAAATGAGTTGATACATGTTGGAATGTATGTGATATAATGCAATCGTCTAGAGCTCATCACTGTAGCACTGAGAGAGACAAATTGGAGCCGCATGAAAGACAAGGATACCTTCTAATTTGTTTTGCACAGGTATGTGTGACTGGTATGTTCCTTCCACCCCCACCCCATATTGTAGTGCCTTAATGATTATGTAGTGTGACTAGAGTTTACAGTGAGCTTGCCTTATGATGAACCAGCAAGCCCCTCCACTCTCCGTCGAACTGAAGCAATTCATTGAGCATATCCAACTGAAGATAGAAATAAGTGGCAAAAACATTGTTGCTTTAAGTTACAATGCCAACATACAATGAGCTGTGGATATGATCCATCCAAAGCTTGGATTCTTCTTAAAATCTCATTACTTGCAATTAAAAAGTTAAGAACATTCTTAKCCGATCCCACTGAAACAGATGGCTCAGTTCAAACATCAGCCCAGTCCATGGTTCAAAGTAACCATGTTTTCAGTTTTCAAGTATAGTTAAACCATGGTATCTGCTACCTGTCTGTTTTTGCCCCCCCCCCCCTTTCCCAGTAATCAGCTGCTTCCTACCTATAGTTTGTTAATCACACAACATGGCATGCTATATAATTAGCTCAAACCATTGATTGCAAGCCTGCATAAATCATGGTTTCTGATTTCTGGTTTACTGGTTGATTTTAAACCATTTTTTTGAAAGTTAAAACATGCCATATTTCTTAATCTCTTAACAGTGGTTTGGTAAGATGTCTCAATTGAGTCTGTGAAACCTAAAAGTACTTCAGTCTAGGTGGAATGTGTCTAGGTGTTTTGTTTGGAGTAAAGCTTTTTTCCCTTAAATTTTTACCTACATTATTAGCTGTCGATGCATCTTTAATAGGGTATTGTGCTGGGAATGCATTGGGATGTTTATCTGATGTTGCAGAGGTGATTAAACACGTGCAATTACTTTCCCTTAGATTATATTGTAACATTAGCTCCCCCCTGGTCTGTAGCAGATGTTACTTGTAAAATATTACTAGTTAGGTGTTAAGAACTTTTATACCAAAGAGAGCCTGCTGGAAAGCACATAATATTCTGTTTTATTTAACACCACTAGTAACATGGGGCGCTTTGGGGAAGGCTTGAGAGCTGTAGCACTTGATATTGTAAATGCACAGTTGAACTGGCCTGCTGGTGGGTGCGCTTTTTAAATGCTTGTTTTCCTGCATTCTGTCACACACTTGCTGTCACCACTGTCATTATGCAGACAGTGATCTTGGCCAAATGGAGAATAAACTGGCTTGGAGAGTGGTATTGCTACAGCAATAAAAGGCTTTAACTGCCTTGAAAACCAAGTTTGTATTCTGTCCAGTCTAAATCATAAGATTAATTTTGGTACTTTGCAGAAAATTCAAAAATGCCAAACGGAAACGTGCATGATAGGATGCTATAGTCTGCTTAACCCCAATATGAACAGCTTGTCAGATGGTTTAGGGCAATAATACTAACCTCGCTGAAGTCAGGCAAGGGGCTTTACTAATAATTCCAGCGAAGTCAACTGATGATAAAGCCACATCTCAAATAGGACAAAGTAATTTGTGAACCACAAGCCTTACAGGTTCCTTTATGAGGCATCTGTTGTCTTTGGCAATAGAGGAAGCTGGTGAGTTCACATCACGACTAGCGGTGGGACCTTTGTTTATTGTGTTTTTGCTCTGTTTTAATCTTATCCTTTGTATTGATGAGAAGATAACCAAGGAATTTCAGTTCTTTATATCAATGGTGTCAACAATGCTTTCTGTTATCAAAATGCTTTTCTGCTTAGTGCCAAGCCCTTTAGAAAATTCCTCTTTGTCCCAGTCCGCATCACAGAAATCCTAGAAGTTTCACAACTAATGGGGAATTTCCAGTATAGCTAAACTTTTCAATTTGTTGAAAGAAAAATGCAAAGTAAGATCTAAACATTCTGGGTTAATTTGTTCCTATTCACATTTAGCTCTTCAAAGCCAATTTACTCCTCCTGAGTCACGTATCCCTCAATAGCTTAGGGAGTGTTTTTCCCAGATGCAAAATTCTATCAAATGTAATTGGAATTAATCAGTGTTATGTGATATGAACAGTTTCCAAAAGGAATTTCCCTAAAGGTCTAGACCTTTTCAAGGATTTTCTTCAGAGATTACTCTGTAGTCAAGCATTTGCCAATGGTTTTACCCTATTGAAGTCCAATTCTCACAGAGAGTGAATAAAGTGGCAAACGTGTATCCAGATAAGGTGGGGTTTTCAGCATGGAACTTTCTGCCATCCCAAAAGCAAATCCCTTTGCATAAAGGGAAGTCAGAATCTTGTCAGGCTAATTCTGTTCCCCAAACTTTGTTTTCTGTATACAGTAATTACTGGTTTTTGTATGGCAGTATGTTGTCATGTCAGTTTCTGGTTTCATGGCGTAGCAATGCCAATTTGCCACATTATACATTCTTTTTGAGAATAAAGCTTTAGGTGCATCCTGTTTTCCCAGTGCATATCCAGCTTGCCTCACTGTGGATAGAGAGACGTAATATGATAGGTAGCTTCTCAGCTGTGCAGCCTCTTTATAAGTGGCCATACTTTTTATGCACATAAAAAGATGGGTTTTCTGAAGCAATCTGGAATCCCTGTGTCATTCTTGGCTGCACTTTCGCATGCGACTCAATGTCTGCGTGAATCCCAATGAAATCTGGGGCTTGCATATGTACAGCTGTGCTCAATTCTGCAACCCAGATTTGCAGTAAACTTGCCTTTTTATGATGAGATGTTTCACCTAGTCACCTTGGTGATTAGTTAAGCCAGTTACTTAATGTTGTTCTTGATTTGAGAGCTCACTTCACAGCTGTTGATATTCCACTGCAAAAACAACTTCAGAGCTTTACTGCTTGCACAGAAGTGACCAGTGAAGCACTATACCTCTGACTCAATTAAAGCAAAACAAAACAATTGCTTCTAAGTGACTGGGATTGGCACAGCCCTGCTTTTTTCTCATTTTAATTTTTAACTTATGAATGGTGCCGCATGTTGACATAGTTGTTTGTTTGTTGCTAAACTTTATATAATGTGTGATTTCAGATTCAGCTTGAACTATTATCTAACTCACTACATGTAGCAGTGCATTATATGTAATGTTAGTATTTCTGCTTGAATCCTTGATATTGCAATGGAATTCCTACTTTATTAAATGTATTTGATATGCTAGTTTACTGTGTAGAATTTAACTTTTTTCTGGTTGTGCTCTTCCTTTTTACAAGCCGCTAGATAAAGGTAGTTTCTGACAATTACTGATCTATGTTTGTATTGCCAATGTACTTAGGGGGTAATGTAAAAATCATTTTAACAAAAGGAAATACAGATATTTAAAAAAATTTAATACTAACTATATGGGAAAAGGGTCCATTGTGAAAACATAGTTTATCTTTGGATTCAATGTTTGTCTTTGGTTTTACAAAGTAGCTTGTATTTTAAGTATTTTCTACATAATATGGTAAAAATGTAGAACAATTGCAATGCATCAATAAAAAGGGTTAATTTTCTGTACTCTATTAATCTGCTGTTTTCTGACTCATGTTGTTAAACTGACACATTGTTAACTTTGAAAAAATATCTGTGCCATGGTAGCTGGTTGTGAAAATTAGGGAAATAAGTGTATGTACTTTACATAAATAAGGAACAAATCTGGCTATAAGCTCCATTGAAATGCACATCCAAAGAGTCCTGAGGAGAGTCCCATTTATTAATTCATTTCTGTCAGTAATGGGACAAGCAGCAGTAACTATGTGAGCACTAGAAACCTATTGAATATTCTGCCTTTGCAGGTGTTTATCCTTGCATTACTTATGCAAATATCTCTTCATAACTATTTGGATAAATGTGATGAACGTTCATATTACAACCTCGCAAACCTGCTTGCAAACACTGGAAAAAGTGTACTGCTTCCTGATTGATGTTTCTACTCAGAGCAGGCAAAGGAAAAACCCTATTGTTTTGTGTATCCTTAAATCATTTCCAAATTACAGGGTTTTCTTGAGAAGATGTTCGGGGGGTGGGGTTGCCATTGCCTTCCTCTGAGAGTGTAACTTGTCACTCTGCTGAAAAGGGATTCCAACCCTGGTCTAGAGTCATACTCCAATACTCAAATTACTACACCAGCCTTGCTCTCTGAAGAACTATACTTAGGTATCTCAGTCATTATTGGGCTTCTCTCCTGATTACTTCAAGACTGCTTTACTACTTGTCCATCCTTTGATGAGAATTACTACTGAGTTGTATTGTCGAAGGCTTTCATGATCTCTGAAGATGCCAGTTACTGATGCAGGCGAACCATCAGGAGAACATGGCCATACAGCCCAAAAACCACACAACACCCCGCCATTAAGAGTTGTGCTAATAACTCAATGTAGATTACTCAGCATTTGCAGAGGCCCCTATGTTATCCCATTACATTACTTCCTCTATATGTGTGATTGACCATCAGCGTGTCTATGAGAAGCCCACAAGGATGCCTTGCTTGTATTCACCCAGCATACTGCCTCTAATCTTGAAGATAATATGGAGAACTCTTAAGATTCTCATGCATCATGCATTTGTCTAGTTTGCACACTTCTCCCAATTTGGTGACTATCTCCACCCTTTGTTAGGGCATTTTCCTATGTGAAAATGGCGTTCATCAGCAGTCATTGGGCAGGGTGTTATATTGTGTTGCAATTGGGAATTTCCTGTGCCATCTAGATTACCTTTTTGGAGAAAACATTGCTTCCCGGGAAACCATTATAAAATGTAATATATGTTTAATAACTTGGGAGTTAAGCGTGTTGAGTTATTGGCAACTCATCAGGGGTCTCTATTTTTACTTTTTTATGGTGGACGGTCTGCTGTTATTTAGAAGCTCTTAAGCTAAGAGCCCTTTTGGCTCTTTCAAGTTGTAAACAAAGGCTCATGGCTTTGGAAAAGCACTGCCAATATAGCAATTTCCTGAAACAGGTTGGAAGCCAGGTGGAAATAGCTGTTCCATTAGACAACTCTCCAAGGCACAGGAGAACATGTGTTGGGATCTTCAAGTGACCTTCTGAACCTCTAATAGGTTCTTTGAGGCTCTCTTTAATCTCCATAATTTACACCTGTAAAAACCTTGCAACTTCAGGATTTGCTAGTGGTCCTCAACCTGTGGGTCCCCAGTTGTTTTGGCCTTCAACTCCCAAAAATCCTGACAGCTGATAAACTGGCTGGGATTTCTGGGAGTTGTAGGCCAAAACATCTGGGGACCCACAGGTTGAGAACCACTGTGTTAGTGCATAATCCATGCATTTAAATTCAGCAAATATAAATTATTCCATGCATATGTTGGTAGAGGAAACAAATACATGGCTAATATGTGTCTCAATGTCTATGTACATGCCACATACATTGGTCTCTATAATGTCTGAAAGTCTGCACCAACATTTCCCTACTTGCATAGCCTTTCTCTCTCTTGATTCTTAGCCAATTCTCTTATGATAATGTGTCAAGTAGATGCAGAACACTTGTCTTTATACATAAGGTGAGGGGAGGAGAGGTTAAAAATCTACCCGGAAGCCACAACTTCTGGTTAAAATCCCCATGCTTGCCCTCATTGTAGATTTGCAGGAACTTACCTTTATTTAAACATAGGAGATATGCTACAGTAACTTATAGATACCCTAATTTACTACTTGTTAATAAAGATTAATGCAATTGTACACGTGCTTGTATTCTACTTGAGAGGGAGAGGGTGCAGTGTATGGAAAATCTGAAGTACCAGCAGAAACTATACACACAGTATCCTAATATTCAAAGATGATCTAAACACGACTCTGGCTCTAATTAAGCCAATGATTGTTTAATACCTCATTAAAAGCAATAATAAGTATAGACTTAGGCCCCCATCTACACTACCATATAAAACAGTTTAAAATGTATTATATGAGTCTACACTGACCATATAATTCAATTCCAAACTGCATTATATGGCAATATAGATGGAGCCATAGAGAAAGCAATATTATTAACATTACTAGTGAGCTACAACACTTACTGACATTTTAAATAGGATATCTAGCAAATGTTTTCAAAAGTTTGCGGGAAATAAGCTCAGCCTCTAGATGGCACCATGATCCTTTGAGTTATTAATACACAATAAAGCACAAAAAGCAAAGAGGCAGAAAATGGAATTGCTTTGTTTACAGAGTAAACCTAAAGTCCAATTCTCATGCTGTTTTAAAGGCTGATGACCCAAAACAAAATATGTGGATCAAATTAACCCAAAGAGCGATAACTCTCGGGGAAGAGGGAAAATGCTTCTTACAGCCTATTCATGTTACATTTTATACCCAAAATTTACAGCAGGGCTACTTAAGCACTTCAACTTATATTTTGCAGAACTCAAAATAGCTACTGGGGGAACTGAAATGGAACAACATGCACACAGTTGGTTACAGCTTGGCACAAGTAATTCCTTCTGTTCTTCCTTGTCCCAATCGAAAGTGGAGACACACATCATGATGCTCAAAGGGTGTTTCAGCATATTGGGACATGCCTCCAGTTTCTTCTGCAGAGTTTATTGGATGCTTCCCAGTTTGTTTTCTTGTCATCACTGTCCCAAGACAGCAAACTAATTGATAGTGCCATTTGTTATTTTGGACATTACCATTGGCTCTCCATAATGTGCATTTTATTAATATGTTCTCTAAGGATCTCAGAATTCTATAGCATTCAGCCAATGCAATTAAAGAAGTGTCAAACCACATTATTTCGGCAGTGCAGATGCACGTAGTTGAGCAAACTACCCATACAGCCGCCTTTATTTATTTATTTATTTTTGCCGTTTGCATCCCATCCTATCTTGACTTCCGCAGAGGGACTCAGGGCGACTAACAACCACACACCATGGTGCCCACAACCAAAAGCATAAATATACAATTTAAATTTATTTACTTATTTATTTATTTCGAGGTTTTATATACCGACCCTCTCACCTTCAAAGAGAGATTCGGACCGGTTCACAACATGTGTTAACATACAAAGAATATACAATAACAACACAATGCCACTTCATAACACGATTAAAATATCAGCACTATACACATTAAAACATTATCATCACAGTTAAAAGAGCCAAATCGTCCGACACCATCACAATCCCATTCATCATCCTCCTTTCATGTGGGCAAAGAATTAAATCAGTTGTCAAATGCCGCGTTCCACAACCAGGTCTTTGTTAGTTTCCTGAAAGTCATGAGGGAGGGGGCAGTTCTGATCTCTAATGGCAGGGAGTTCCAAAGTCGAGGAGCCACCATCGAGAAGGCCCTGTCCCTCGTCCCCACCAGCCGTGCTTGTGCAGGCGGTGGGACCGAGAGCAGGGCCCCTCCAGACAATCTTAGTGGTCTTGATGGTTCATAGGGGAGAATACGTTCGGAGAGGTAAACAGGGCCGGAGTCGTTTAGGGCTTTATAGGTTAACACCAGCACTTTGAATTGTGCTCGGAAGCTAATTGGCAGCCAGTGGAGCTGGTGTAACAGCGGAGTGGTGTGCTCCCTGTACCCAGCACCCGTTAGTAATCTGGCTGCCGCGCGTTGTACTTGCTGCAGCTTCCGGGCAGTCTTCAGAGGCAACCCCACGTAGAGAGCGTTGCAGTAATCTAAGCGGGATGTAACCAAAGCATGACTACCGTGGCCAAGTCAGACTTCCCAAGGTACGGACGCAGCTGGCGCACAAGTTTTAATTGTGCGAATGCTCCCCTGACCACCGCTGAAACCTGGGGTTCCAGGCTCAGCGATGAATCCAGGAGAACTCCCAGACTGCGTACCTGTGTTTTTAGGGGGAGTGTGACCCCGTCCAGCACAGGCTGTAACCCCGTACCCTGTTCGGTCTTACGACTGACCAGGAGTACCTCTGTCTTGTCTGGATTTAGTTTCAATCTGTTGTCCCTCATCCAGTCCGTGACAGCGGCCAAGCACCGGTTCATGACCTGAACAGCCTCCTTAGTGACAGGTGGAAAAGAGTGATAGAGTTGGACATCATCTGTGTACAGATGACATCGCACCCCAAAACTCCGGATGATCTCTCCCAACGGCTTCATGTATATGTTAAACAGCATAGGGGACAAAACTGAACCCTGCGGGACTCCACAGTACAATGGCCGCGGAGTCGAGCAGGTGCCCCCTAAAGACACCTTCTGAGATCGACCCTCGAGGAACGACTGGAGCCACTGCAATGCAGTACCCCCAAGGCCCATTCCTGCGAGGCGTCTCAGAAGGATACCGTGGTTGACGGTATCGAAGGCCGAAGAGAGGTCCAGCAGAACCAGCAGGGACACACTCCCCCTGTCCAATTCCCGACGAAGATCATCCACTAAAGCGACCAAGGCTAAAGCCAGACTGTGACGGATCTAGATAGTCCGTGTCCACCAGGAATTCCTGGCGCTGCGAGGTCACCACACGTTCCAGGACTTTGCCCAAGTAGGGGAGATTGGAAACTGGCCGAAAGTTGATGAATTGAGTGGGGTCTAGTGATGGTTTTTTCAACAGTG